CCTTTGGCAGAGTGGTAAAGCCCTTTCCTGCCCTCATGGCCCTAAACAACCCGTCAGAACATACCCAACTGTAACTGTAAATCACACAGATCCTGTCCTTTAGAGATTTAGAAAAAGAGACCCAGGAGGCTTTCATGGAGATAGACCCCTGAAAGCTGAGCCTCGAAGCCATGAAGGGCTGAGGGGAGACCAGCCGGTGCAAAGGCACGGAGGCTGGGAAGGGAAGGATGTGATAAAGCTGGTGAGCCAGGCTCTGAGCCACGTGTGTGTTCCGGGGCATGTGGCTGAAGGGCAGGGGGGAACAGAAATTGCAATGGAAAATGAGCATCTACAGAACTGTGTACAGGAATTATGGCCACACCACTTGCAGTGTTTATGTGGAGATTTCCTGCTCATTCTTGTTTCATTACCACCAGAGTCCTGTGGACTTGAGAGTGGAGAGGAGGGGATGGGTGGGAGGAATTTCACGAGGTCTGGTAGGAAACTACAAGAAGCAGGAGGAAGAACAAGGTGAGCTTGCGCTGGGGTGTCCATGGTTGCTACTCTGTGGGTGTGATGGCCTGAGTTTGAATCTTTATCCTTTTCAGAGGCCAGTGGAGAAGCAATCTTTACTCTTCAAGTGTTTGCAACCTCAGTAGTTTTTCCCCTGGTGGAGCGAGAACTAAGGAATGAGTAACAACCCGTCAATTAAGATGGGTCACGGGTGCTTTGATGGGCTTGGGAATGCGTCCCAGAGAGGAGCTTTTCTTTTTCCTGTTGACTGTATCGAAACGACATTAATAATGCATCTGCTACTTCTTAAGTGGACCAGTAATGTCTATTAATGGAATGTGTTTATCGTAGCAGGACTGCCAGAGCAGAAGAAAAATTAAAGGGTAATTTGTGAAACCCTTTCCACACCTTGCCTTTCCCACTCTTGTCCCTCTGGGCCACCCAGGATACTTAGGACTGTGAAGGAGTGCGGCTCTGTGCCTGGTCCTCGAAGGCCTGTGATGGTCTCCTTGTGTGGCCGGGAACAGATTCAGTTCCTCCCTCCAGGCCTTGCACGAACCCTCCTTTAAGGTGGAAATAGAGGCACAGTCACTGTGTCAGTAACATCTTAACCTCTATCCCAAGAACCACAGTATTTGATGGGATTTATGGGGTTTCTGTGTCCTTCATTTTGCTTCCTTTAGTTATTGGAGGACCTTTTTTGAATTGTTAGCTCTCAGGCTAAGGGAAAGGCTTTAGTACCAGGGGAAGTCCTTACGGGCTGAAGGAGGAACTCCTGTGTCTTTGGAGGATGCAGGGTGACCAAGTGCCACCTCCAAGCTGCTTATGGAAACACAACGATGCCATTGGCCATTATCCTATAACCAACAGGTTCCCTCTTGGAAACTTCCTCTCATCCCCTAGAGCAGTGGTTCTCAACCTGTGGGTTGTGACCCTTTTGGGGGTTGAACGACCCTTTCACAGGAGTCGCCTAAATACATCCTGCATATCAGATACTTACATTACGATTCATAACAGTAGCAACATTACAGTTATGAAGTAGCAATGAAAATAATTTTATGGTTGGGGGTCACGACAACATGAGGAACTGTATTAAAGGGTCGTGGCATTAGGAAGGTTGAGAACCACTGCCCTAGAGAGTGGGGATTGAAGGAGTGATCTTATGATTCTCCTGCCTCCAAAGGCTCACCCCATTGCACTATATTTCCTCCTTTGAAATCTATAAAATTAATAAAACGAACAGAATGGTATGGGGGGAAGGTTGGAGTCAGAGGCAGCAGGGTCTGTTTCCCCCAAGTAGACCTGCAGCACGTTAGAGGGGGCGGAGGGGTAGAGACCCTGGAGGATCCACCATGGTTCTTCCTAGGACTGTCCCAGGACCCAGAGCACACCTAGTTGGCCCTCGAAGTGTATCCAAACCACACAGAACAACAGACTTAGAATGTTGGCAAATCTTAGGAGCAAGTCAGATAAGAGAGGAACACCCTTTCTAAGTTTATTTCATAACTAGAGGCCTGGTGCATGAAATTCATGCACTGGGGGGGGGGGGGGTGGAGTCCCTCAGCCCGGCCTGTATCCTCTCGCAGTATGGGAGCCCTTGGGGGATGTCCGACTGATGGCTTATAACCTACTAGTCCAGCTTCTCAGATGACCTCAGCCTCCTTCCACCCAGTGAAATGGACGGGACAGCTACATCTCCGGCTGGGTTCACAGAGTGAGTCAGCTAGGTGACGTGGAAACTGAGGCACTGTGCCCGGCTGGAGTGGCCCAGTTGCTTGAGCATCATCCCATGAATCGAAAAGTTACCGGTTTGATTCCTGGTCAGGCACATGCCTGGGTTATGAGCTTGATCCTTGGCCCGCAGGGTGCAGCAGATAGATATTTCTCTCTCACATTGATGTTTCTCTCCCACTCTCTCTAAAACCAATAAAAACATTTTAAAAGAAGTTACTAAGGCAGTGTGCTCATAGTGAGCACAGAGAGGATTGCTTAGCTGGGGAGCCAGATGCTCACCAGTGGTGTGATCACAGACACATCTAACCTCTTAGGGGAAAATCAGGGTGATAATTGTACCAGCCACGTAGGGCTGTGATGAATGAATGAGTCAGTGCTTGGCAAGTGGTAAGTACTGATGAGTGCTCGCCATGGTAATGGTGGGGAAGGTCCCTTGGACAGTGCCTCGGGCTCTGAGACTGCTGAGAGGGGGTTAGGTAGAAACTGGAGAAACCACTCAAAAGCAGCTGGCAATTTTCTCTCACGGGGAATTATCTCATTTGGTTTTAGGAACATCTCTTCCTTGGACTTTAAATAATGCAAATGTAAAAGCAAACGCCCCTTCTCCTGTGGGTATAGTGGATGTTGGACCTGACCTTGTGGGGTGATGAGCTGGCCCCAGCCATGTGGAAGTAGATTGCAGATATGGGGGTTTGCAACTTGTGAGAAGTATTATTCATGTTGCTTTGACCATGACCCACAGAAATATATTCCACATAATGATGTCACTGTACACACTCATACATCAAACAAGTTTCACAAAACCATGACCACCCTCACTTTCTTAAATGCACCCTGATGTTTCTCTCTCTCATCCCCCTCCCACCCCCCCCATATGTTGGTTGTAACTCAGTAAATTGACATCATGATGCAGCAATGGATCTGGACCTGGTAGTCTAAGAAGCTGTGCTGTGAGGGAGCCCAGGAGGATCTAGCCCAGCCTGACAACAGCTTTCCCTCTGGCCACCCCTCATGGGTCTCTAAAGCCTGGGGTGGTTCAGGAGGGGCTGCCTACACTTGAGGGCAAATGAGAGCCCCTTCTCTAAGGCCAGAGGGGCAGTTAACAAGCCACAGGGCAGGGAGCCTGGCCTTTCAGCATCTCCAGCAGCACACAGTAGGTGCTCAGTAAAGGTTTAAGCCACAGCAAGAACAGGGGAGAGTGCCCTGGACTGGGGCTAGTCATATGCTCTCCCCTGTGGCCCGGGGCCTCAGTTACTCCACCTGCAAAATGAAGGCCTGGTCTCTGGGGGATCCCCAGCAGAATAGACGGCCAAGCCTGGGACTCCCTTGGGGAGCGGACACCCAATGTGGCACCATCGTACATGCTGCCCGTGCAACGCGGGGGCCCAGCCTGAGCTCTTCCCCAGGCCGGACCGCAAGATCCTGAAAGGCCACCGTCCGCCCTAGGCTCAGCTTGGGGGCGTCTTCATACATGTCACTCCATTGAGGCTGCAACTCCTCAGTGCGGGAGAACCATGTGAGGGAGGCTGAGGAAGAGGCTGCAGGAGAGCGAGGAGGGGCGTCTGGCGACAGTTCCCGAGCCTCTCGTCCAGGATGACCTCAGCTTCTAAAATCCTCGTCATGACAGGGATGGATGGCAGCTCCCAGTCCTGCCCTTATTTAAGAGTTGGGCCTGAGCTTGTTCACTCAACAAATGCGTCCTAAACTATTGTATGGCAGGCACAGCAGTGGGCACGGAAGCAGAGGTGTCCGGAGGGGAGGTGGCCGCCCTCCCGGAGCTCTATGTGAGCTTAGTGGTGGGTGGGGAGTCAACAGGTAAAGGAGATCATATGTGACGTGCTCTGAGGGAGCGATAATGAGATAGAAAGTGACTGGGGGGAAATGGCATTTGAGTTGAAATAGATGAAAAGGTACAAGGATCTGTGCTTCCAAAATGTCAGTTGAGAGCAAAATACAGATTTCTAGGCCCTATTTAGCAAATAAAGACATTAGGGCCCAGGAATCTGCATTTTCCTCCCAAACGATTCCAATCTACACTGAAACTGGAGGCCTTCTGCCTTCCAGAGAGGACCATACCTGGTGGGCTTCAGGGTTCCTTTCGACTCCCAGAGCCCATGGCGGGCTAGGGAGAGGAAGCTCTCAGTGCGTGCACGTGTGTGTGTGGGGGGGGGGGGGGGGAGGGTAGGGGAAGCTAGGGAGAGGGGCAGGGTTCCGGTTGGGTGGCAGGAGGCATTAAATGAGCACGCACAGCTCCTCACGCAAAGGGAGAGCTCCCCAGGGCCCCCCTCTCTGCGGTGGCCTCCCTCATCCCTGCCCCACTCCCTCAGTTAATCAGGGCCATGAGGGTGCAGTCTTGGCAGCCTAGGCTAGGTCTAGCTCGTGCTTTGGGGACGTTTCAAACGGCTGGCACAGGCCCTCTCTGAGGCCCTCTCTGCAGATGACCCTGGGCCTTGGTTGCCGGTGCCTCCACCCCAGCCCACCTGCCCCAGGTGGGTGCAGAGATGCAGGCTGCAGGCACTGCGACCTGCCCAGCGACAGCCGCCCTGGGAGGGGGTTACAACCTGCCACAGCGGCCACAGGAGCGCCCACTGGGTACCAGCAGGCGCGTTTGTCAAATCTTCCTTCTCTCCCAGCCCGTAGTGGGCCCGGGCTCTCCCCGGGAGCAAGAAACACCTGTTGTGTTCACCTGCACGTGCTCTTTCTCCCTCTTCACATCCGCTTCCTGTGCAGCAGGTCCCTCCTCCAGGCCTCCGTTTCCCCATCCATCCCCGGGAGGAGCCGCGGGACTCCTTGCGGAGCGGGGGGGGCGGGGGGGAGGTTTGCTTCGGAAGAGCCCTCCCCCTCTCGCCCCGCGACTCCTCACTCCTCCCGACGCCTCCGGACGGTCCAGCCGCTGGTGTCGCCGTGTCAGGCCAGGGGAGGAGGTGGCGGTAAGGTCGCAGTCCCGCCGGCGCCGCCCCCGCCCGCTCCGAGTGCTTCCAGCCCCACGCGTCACCCGCGGCCTGCGCTCCCGCAGCTCCGGCGCCGCAGCGGGGAGCGGGCGCCCAGGGCGAGGGGCCGGGCGGAGGCGGAGGCGCGGACGCGGGCGCGGGCGGCTCCCATGAGACACGCGCGTGGCGGCGCGGTCCCCAGGCCCAGGTGAGCCGGCGCCATGGGGCAGGCGAGCTGCAAGGGGCTCTACCAGTCGCTGTTCGACTACAAGACCGAGAAGTATGTCATCGCCAAGAACAAGAAGGTGGGCCTGCTCTACCGGCTGCTGCAGGTCTCCATCCTGACCTACCTGGTGGTGTGAGTGCGGGCCCGCGGGGGGCGGGGCCGGGCGGGGCCTCCCCGGGGTCGGGAATCGGCCTGGGTCACAGAGTGTCTCCTGGGGTGGGGGTGGGGGTCAGGGTGGGCGTAAGGAGGGAGCCCCTCCTCCCGGGACCCCGGCTCCGGAGGTGAGATGCGGCAGGGGATCTAGGAGGCTTTCCGGGGCAGCTCCCTCCTCCAGGCCTGGAGCCCCCGGCGCTGGGCGGTGGGAAGGGGCCAGCGTGCAGGGGGCTGGGCTGCAGCTGTCGCCCCGGAGCCTCCCACACAGGGAGGTTATTTATAATCACTGAGCTCAGAGCCGAGCCTCCGGCGGGGGCCGCTCATGAGGCTGGCATGTCCCTCTGGTCAACTCACCCCACCGTGGCAGGCCTCTCCGGCATCCAGCTGGGGGACCTGCCCAGTGGGCCCCCCACATCTCCCTCCCACCTGGCAGAAGCTGGTGCCAGCAGCAGAGGGGCAGCTCCTTGGGGCGGCTCCGCCGGGCAATGCCCAGAACCCTCGCCCCTGAGTAGGGAGGGGGCAGGTGGAGGGAGGGCATGACCGTGGAGGACTGGGATGCAGGTGCGTCTCTCCTACTCCTCCAGTAAATGCGGTTTGTCCCTCCCATTTCCTGACTCGGGAGGAGGCCCTGATCCACCTGGCATTTCCCCAGCTTCGCCCTCATGGCTCCTGCCTGCGGGCCTTTGAACTCGCTGTTGCTCAGCCAGGGGTTCCTCCTCCACTTGGGCAGTGTCTGCTCACCTCCTTCCGACCTGGGACCTCCCACAACTCCCTCTGCTTTCCTCCCGCGTCACACAATTCCCCACAATGTAATTACATGCTTGTTTAGAGGCTCCTTTGCTTAATGTCTGTGTCTGACTCCCCATCAGGCTGGAACATCATGAGCAATGGTTCTCAGCCTTGGCTGCACATTAGAATCACCTGGGAATCTTTTTAAAATCCTGAGTTCTGGGCCTCATCCTCTGGAAATTCTGTTTCTTTGTTACTAATGTTGTGGCCCCACCCCATAACAAAGAAACAGAATTTCCGGAGGATGAGGCCCAGAAATCAGGATTTTAAAGATTCCCAGGTGATTCTAATGTGCAGCCAAGGTTGAGAACCGCTGATCATGAGGAAGGGTCCTGGCGTCACCTAACCCAGTGGTCGGCAAACTCATTAGTCAGCAGAGCCAAATATCAACAGTACAACGATTGAAATTTCTTTTGAGAGCCAAATTTTTTAAAAAACTATATAGGTAGGTACATTGTTATTAACTTAATTAGGGTACTCCTAAGGCTTAGGAAGTGCCACACTCAAGGGGCCAAAGAGCCACATGTGGCTCACGAGCCGCAGTTTGCCGACCACGGAGTCCTAACCACTCGGGCAATGGGTGTGAAATGAATGAGTGAATGAATGTTCCTTGAGTATTTGCTGGATGTTTCTGTCCAGGTGGAGCCCAGTGTGTCCCTTCCCAAACGGCTGGTTGGCTCAAGGGTCACAGCCCTCTGAGTTCCTTAGCGACAGGCCAGTCTACGGCCCAGGACACGCCAGCTCTGCCCCCAGAGATGAAGATGACCCCAGCAATGCAGAGAACCCTTACTGGCCCCCTGGCAGGTGCAGGGCATCCCACACACTACTGCATGACCTCTCCTGGCTCAGTTTCCCCAGCTTTCCCAGGGTTCAATGAACCTGCACAGCCTCTAATATTAACAGTAACACCAGCAATAAACTGATGACTTGTATTCAGTGAGCTCTTCCTCTGTGCCAGGCACTCTTCTGTGCTAAGCAATTTACATGCACCATCTCAGTCCTTAATATTTTTTTTGTATTTTGACATAATTTTAGAAAAGTTACAAGTAGTAAAAATGCTTTTTAAATGCCCTTCAGCTAGATTCTCCAAATGTTATTTTACTACATTTGTGTTGTCTCCATATATATAGGCATTATTTTCTGTTTGAGTAGCTGGCAAACACAGTCCCTCTTTGCTTCTGTATACTTCATTGTATATTTCTTAAAAATAAGGAATTATCTTATTTAACCAAGTACAAGGAGGAAATTAGCATAGAAATGATACTGTTTAAGCTATTGGCCTTTTGTAAATTGTCCCAATAATGTGCGCTCACGCCTTGCACTCACTGTCATGTCCCCTTCGGCTCCTATCTGGAATTGTTCCTGAGTCTTTCTCTGTGTTTCATGACACTGCCAATTTTTTAAGAATACAGAATTTTTTATAAATCATTATTAAATTCAGGTAAAATATACATAGTATATAATCCACCATTTTAATAATTTAAAATTATACAATTAAGTGGTTTTTAGTATATTCACAATGTTGTACAACCATCACTACTACCTAATTCCAGCACATTTCTATCATCCCCCCCCTCAGTCCCCCCTGCAAAGAAACCTGCATCTATTAACAGTCAGTCATCATTCTCCCCTACCCCTAATCCCTTGGCAACCACAAATCTACTTTTTGCCTCTATATATTTGCCCATTCTGGCCAATTCTTAGATATCAAATCATACACTATGTGGCTTTTCCTTGTCTGACTTATTTGGCATAACGTGGTCAAGGTTCATCCATGTTGAAGCATGTGTCAGTACTTCAATCCTTTTATGACTGAATGACATTCCATTGTATGGATATACCACATTTTGTTCATCTACCCATTGGTTGATTGGCATTTGGACTGTTTCTACTTTTGACTACTATGAATAATGGTGCTAAGAATATTCATGTGCTCATTTTTGTGTAAACATGTTTTCAATTCTCTTGAGTTTACACTTAGGAGTAGCATTGCTGGGTCATAAGTAACCTTTTTGAGGAACTGCCAAACTGTTTTCCACAGCAGCGACACCATTTTACATTCCCAGCACCAGTACCAGTTTCTCCACATTCTCACCATTTGCTATTTTCCATTTTTTTATTATAGCCATTTTATTGGGTGTGAAGTGATATCTCATTGTGGTTTGTATTTGCATTTCCCTAATGACTAATGATGTTAAGCATCTTTTCATGTGCTTATTGGCTGCTTGTATATCTTTTTGGAGAAATGCCTATTCATATCCTCGGCACATTTTTAAACTGGGTTGTCTTCTGGTGTGTTGAATTTTAAGACTTCTTTATATATTCTGGGGTCTAGGTCCTTACTAGTTATATAATTCACAAATGTTTCTCCCATCTTGTGAATTATCTTTTCACTTTCTTGATAGTGCATTTTGATGCATAAAAGTTCTTAATTTTGGTAAAGTCCAACTTACCTAGTTTTTCATGCTCTCGAATTTTATGGACTGCCCCTTTTGGGTTTGACTGAGGTCCCCCCATGATTGGTTCAGGTTATGCACCATGACCTTTAACCCTCCTCACACCTGGAGGGAGGCGCTGTTATCCTGTTACCCCGAGCTCAGTGGCTTGCTGGAGGTCCTATAGCCAGTTCCAGGGTGAGCAGGTTTCATCCAAGCCCCACTGAGAGCAGCGCACTATTACCTGGGGTTGTCACCTCTGCTGCTTGCAGGATGGGGCTCCAGGCAGCAGTGGGAGTTGTGACCCAGTCCAGGAGCTGGAGGGCAGGGTGGAGCCTAAGCCCGCCCCCGCCCCTCCCACCCTGGGCTGATGCCCACTTTGTTGGCCCTTGCGCAGTTGGGTGTTCCTAGTGAAGAAGAGTTACCAAGACACCGACACCTCCCTGCAGAGCAGCATCATCACCAAAGTCAAGGGCGTGATCTTCACCAACACCTCGGAGCTGGGGGAGCGGCTCTGGGATGTTGCTGACTACGTCATCCCGCCCCAGGTCTGCACCCCGGCTGCCCGGGCTGGGACCCAGGGACCTCCATTCATTGTCTCCCGTGGCCCAGAACAGCTGCCAGGGTTTGTACATAGAGATCCTACATAGATCCTCCCCCCAAGTCCAACTCCTGCCCTCCTTCCTTTTCGGTGCCTCATGGAACTGCTCTGCTCCCAGCAAACCCTGAGCCTATTGAGACCAATGGGGCTCAGGGAATTTCCAAGTTGGTGTGAATCCCTTAGATCAGCGTCCTAGCTTGATCACAGTCTCCCTGGGCCAGGGCGGAGCTGCCCATTACTGCTCCTCTCCTCCCAGATCTGTGCTTGGACACCAGGGGCTGAGGTCAAAATAGGGATTTGTGGGGCAGGGGTGATTTGTGGGTGTGGGTCTGCGAGGAACTTATTAAAGGACTTAGGACAGTGGGCAGATGGGACCCACTGATTTTATGGCTCCACTGTCCTCAATACCCATGCCGAGGCCCCGCGCCCTGCCAGGCAGCCCTGGGAAGGAGGGTTCCAAGAGAGCAGAAGGAGGTTCCTTAACTCCTCTCTGGTTTCTCAGGGGGAGAACGTCTTCTTCGTCATCACCAACCTGGTTGTGACCCCCAACCAGCGCCAGGAAACCTGTGCTGAGGTTTGCTTTGGTGCCAGAGCTGGGAGGCGGTGGAAGACCCCAGCACGGGGTGGGGGGAGGGAGGGGTTGGGCTTTTCCCATCTCCAGAAGCAGTTCTGTCCCCTCCAGGGCCCTTGGCGGGGGTGAGGGGGGGGGGGGGAGGCGGGGGCGGGAGGTACACAAGTGCATGTACCTGTACTCTTTCAGGGAGAACCAGGTTCTCAAAGGGTGTGTGGCCCCAGGCAGGGGAGGAGCTTTGTCCTACCCCTGTGGTGGGACCAGCTGAGCTGGGAACCTGCAGGGGAGCCCTTACACAGGCGCCCCTTCTCTCCTGGCAGAATGAAAGCATTCCTGACGCTGTGTGCTCCGAGGACAGTGACTGTCCTCCTGGGGAGCCTGTCGTGACTGGAAATGGTGAGGCCTGGATGGCCAGGACTAGGGGGTTGAGGGGCTGGGGCCTGGAGGCTCCTGGCACTACTACTGTCCCCCTGCAGGCGTGAGGACTGGCCGCTGCCTGCGGGCAGAGAACATGCAAAGGGGCACCTGCGAGATCTTCGCCTGGTGCCCAGTGGAAACAAGGTCCAGGCCAGAGTACGTGGCTGTGGTTTGGGACCCCAAGGGGTTTCCCAGTCCTGGGCAGCGGGTCCAAGTCTGATGGTAGAGACAGGCCACTCCCGGACCCTCATCCCAAGGACACCCACAAAGGCCTGAACTCCCCACCATGAACGAGTTAACTGTCCTTGGCAGAGGCTCCAGGGGACCCTGGGAGCAGCAGGCCTTGGCCCACCACAGGCCTGGGGGTGGGGGTGGGTGGGTGGGTGGTGAGGGTGGTGGGGGTGGGGGGGTGTGTGGAGGGCGGGCTTCCTAAACAGGCTGTCCTGGCTGGGTTTTCAGGAAGCCCCTCCTGGGCAAGGCTGAAGACTTCACCATTTACATAAAGAACTTCATTCGTTTCCCTAAATTCAACTTCTCCAAGTATGTGGGGCTCTGCTATGGGGACCCAGGGCTGGGGCCATGGCTGGCCCTCCTGGTGGCTGTGCATAGGCCCCTGTGTATATGTGTGTGTGAATGGACCGCAGGGGGATGCTGGGCACCCCTCCCTGCTGTGGGGTGGGGGTCTGTTCTTGAATGCGGTGGGATGTTCTCGTGGATGTGGTTGGGGCTCCGGCCTAGGGCTAAAGTCAGGGACTAAGCCTGGAAACAGCGGGTCTACCTTCATTTCATTGTCTGTTCACGGCTGCCCCTCAGGACCAATGTGCTGGACACCAAAGACAGAGCTTACCTGAGGTCCTGTCGGTTTGGCCCCAAGGACCCCTATTGCCCCATCTTCCGACTGGGGTCTGTGGTCAGCTGGACGGGGAGCGACTTCCAGGAGATAGCCCTGCAGGTGGGTGGCGTGCCCTCAGGGAGCCTTCCTGGGGCCTCAGGGGTCTGAACGGGGAGGGGTGTGTGGGGGGGCCCATGGGGTGGGGGTGGCCCTGCAAAGTCACCTGCCCCAGGGACTTCCTGTTTTCAGAATTCGCTGACAGCCGGCTGTGCCTGCGCTCGGACCTGGCACTCAGTGAGGGCACTCAGCATAGTCGCTGGGCAGCAGCGGAAACTGAACCAAAAGGAGCCCCACGGGCGCATCCTGGCTGTGTAAGGTGCCTGCCCATAGTGTAGTCGGTGCTCACCGGGGAGTTCTCGTCTTCTCTGAAGCAGGAGGCCGGAGGCGGCGGGGGCTGGGGGCTGTCGGCAACACTTTCCCCAGCCCCTCCTGGGCCTTCCACCTCCCAGGACGCTCCAGCCAGGTCTACCCCTGGCCTCAAGGCATCCCCAGTCTTGTCCAGCTGTCCATCTCCCAGACACGATTCCTCTTTCCCATCCAGGGCGGTGTGATAGGGATCCAGATCGAGTGGGACTGTGATCTTGACAAAGCTCCTTCTGAATGCAACCCTCGCTATTACTTTAGCCGCCTGGACCGCAGGTTTCCTGGAAACTCTGTCTCCTCCGGGTATAACTTCAGGTAACAGACTGGGCCTGCTGCCTATGACTCTGTCCATGTTTCGTGTCCTTCCCTGGGTGCCAGCACTGTGACACCCCTTCCAGGGGTGTCAGAGGAGGTACAGGGAGAGACAGCTGGGGAGAGAGGGATGGCCTCTGGGAGGGGAGAGAGGGTGGGTCATCGCCCTGGGCTCCCGGCGAAGCTGAGGCCTGACTTCTCAGCTGGCTGAGCTCTATCCGTTCTCTGGTGGCCCCAGGTTGGCCCAGTGTGCAGTGGGAAAGGCCCTGCCTCTTGGGGATGTCTGACAAGGACTCAAAGATCTGGATGAATCTTAGGCATGTCAGCAAGAGGGTCTGCAACCTCTCCCGGGGCTGCTGTGAGCGAGGTCCTGGGATGCTTATAAATCTCAAAAGCAGCTGAGTCTGTTGCCAAACAGGGAAGGCCCAGGAAGGCTGAGGTCTCCCCTGGGCTGTGTCTCCCCAGGTTTGCCAAATATTACCGCGATGAAGCCGGGGTGGAGTTCCGCACCCTGATCAAAGCCTACGGGATCCGCTTTGATGTCCTGGTGAATGGCAGGGTGCGTGAGCTGCGTCTCCCCTTGGGAGGCTGGGCAGGGCCAGGGCGGGGCAGGCATGTTGGGAGGGACCCTGCTATCCACCTGCTCCCTCACCCTGCCTTGTCTCTCTCTGTGCTTCAGGCAGGGAAGTTCAACATCATCCCCACAATCATCAACGTGGGCTCAGGGGTGGCACTCATGGGTGTTGTGAGTACCTCTCCCCTCCTTCCCCTTTACCCTCTGCACACTGGTGGGGGGAGGGGGAGTTGTCCATATGCCCCAGAAACAAAGAACTGACAGGTCAGCGCAGGTGCCAGTAAAGAGGGCTTTCTGGGACTTCACGCCCCTCCAGTGGCCCCAGGGGGCAGAGAACTGCCTGAATTTCTCTTTCTAGAGCCAGAGGCATCTGCCTATTTCTCCGGAGCTGGGGGTTCTCTGGGATACAGGATTAGCCCCTGAATTTTATTTATTTTTTATTAATGACAGTTACAGATGTCCCTGTACTCCCTGCCATTTGCCCATCTCCAGCCAGCCCCCACCACCCCTCCCTCTGGCCTTCACCCTACTGCTGCCTGTGTCCATGGGTTATGCATATGTGTTCTTTGGCTAATCTCTTCACCTTCTTTCATCTAGTCTCTCCCACTACCCTTCCCTCTGACACCTGTCAGTCTGCTCCATGTATCCATGCCTGTGGTTCTATTTTGTTCATCAGTGTATTTTGTTCATTAGATTCCACATATAAGTGAGACCATATGGTATTTGTCTTTCTCTGACTGGCTTACTTTGCTTAGCATAATGCTCTCCAGGTCCATCCATGCTGTCGAAGAGGGTAAGAGTTCCTTCTTTCTTAGAGCTGCATCGTATTCCATGGGGTAAATATACAACAGCTGGATTAGCCCCTGAACTTTTAAATTCTAAAAAGAGGTAGGGTCCACCTATGACTCTGTGGAACAAGAGATTGATAAAAAAGCATTTCTAGCCCTGATCGGTTTGGCTCAGTGGATGGAGCGTCGGCCTGTGGACTGAAGGGTCTCAGGTTTGATTCCGGTCAAGGGCATGTACCTTGGTTGCCGGTACATCCCCGGTTGGGGGTGCGCAGGAGGCAGCTGATCGATCTTTCTAACTCTCTATCCCTCTCCCTTCCTCTTTGTAAAAAAAATCAATAAAATATATTTAAAAAACACACAACATTTCTAGCATCTGGGGAGAGAAAAAAAAAAAGGTGTGCAGAGCCCAGGGTCAGAGGACTAGGTTCACCTGTGGCCCATCCATCAACTCTTCCCACCCTCCACCCTTATTCTGGAAACCGGCTGTGTTGAGGTGGATTCGCCCTCTGGTGGAAGAGACAGGTGTTGCACCACACACTTTTGCCTGAAGTGTATGTGCTCAGGTGTCAGCAGGTCCCAGCTGGGTTAGCACAGTTGCCTCATCTTTCCTTGGCCATCGCTGCAGCATCTATTCAGATCCCCTACCACCCATCTCTCACACTGATTCCCAGAGGGATCTTTTCAAAATGCTGCAGTTCTGTGTTCTGCCCTATTCAACGCCCTCAGTGCTGCCGAGAGGATGAGAACCAGTGCCTTGAAGACATTTCAGGAAGCGTCACAGGCTGGCCCCACCCAGCTCTCCAGAAGTGTCTTTCCTCTTCCCCACAGCCTTGTGGGATTTCCCAGGCATGACGAGCTTGTTCCTGCTGCTGCAATGCCCTTCCTGAGTTTTTGTATTAATTCCTATTTAGCCCTCAAGACTCAACCCAGACTGAGTCAAGTCCTGCCTTCGCTCTCCTTGCTCCTCCCTCTCCCCATCATAAGACACATCGCCGTGTGTCATAAGTTGCATGCCTGTCTCTTGCACCAGAGAGGGAGAGTCCTCAGAGGGTCTCATTGCCTTAGTCCTCCCTGCACCCCAGGGCAGTACCTGGCACGTGTGAATGCTCAGCAAATGTTTGTTAAACATGATTAGATGGACTTCAGGCTCACCGGGGCTCTACTGTGGACCAGCTTTGTGACCTTAAAGGTCCCTTAAAAAAAAAAAATAGATATAGTAGAATATATATATATATTTTTGAGAGGAAGGGAGAGGGAGAGAGAGAAACATCAATGATGAGAGAGAATCATGGATCGGCTGCCTCCTGCACGCCCCTCACTGGGTATCGAGCCCGCAACCCAGGCATGTACCCTTGGCTGGAATTGAACCTGGGACCCTTCAGTCTGAGGCCGATGCTCTATCAATTGATCCAAACCAGCTAGGGCAAAAGGCACCTCTTTCTGATCTGTTTCCCCATCTATGAAATGGGACGATGCACGCTTCTGGGATTGTTACAGGATCAAACAGGATACTTCTGTCGGCTCTCCAGAAGTCTAGGGTCTGAGTCAGGGACCCCCAACTCTTTTGCAGGGGTCTTTCTTCTGCGACCTGATACTCATCTACTTCATCAAAAAGAGCCACTTTTACCGCAACAAGAAATTCGAGGAAGTACGGTCAGTTATGCTTCCTCCCCAGTGGTCCCACGGGAACCGTGTGGAGCCAGCCTCTCCCTCTCTGTCTTAGGACCTTTACCCTGGGTGGAGGCTGTGCCTGGTGGGTGGAGGCAGGGGTGAACATGGGGAGCCGCCCCGGAAGGGAGGGAAGATGGACTGTTCTGAGTACATGCTCTACAGAACCAGACTCCTCCTCAGAGCAGCTGGCAGAGGGAAAAGCCACCACATACCTGGTGGGCAGAACTGGTTTCCAGGTCTCCTTGGGCCTCAATTTCTCTCTTTGCAAAATGAGAGAATTGGTTTATATACAGTGACTTGTTGCAGTTACAATTTAGTATTCTTGGACTTGGTGGTCCTGGGCTGGGGTTGAGGGAGGCTGGAGTGGTAAGGGAAGAAAAAAATGGATTTCCTTTTTTTTTTTTTACTACAGGAGCCTATTTCCAGGCTCTCCTGGCTGTGGGCTTGTTGGCTGTGTGTGTCTGTGGGCGGGACGGAAGGGGCAGGGGCTCTGGCCCAGCCGTTGGGAAGGCTCCCTGGAGGAGCTGGGATTAGAATGGGGAATTTCAAAGTGGTGATCCCTCAGTCCCATCACAACCTGAGACAGCAGGTGGCCAGCTCGTATCATTCACCTGGCTTGAACCCCAGCCTGGTTCATAGGCTGAGCCCTGAGCCCTGACGGCTCCTGCCACCCCAACTGAGCTGCTGGAGGAAGAGGGGCACCGTCGGCAGGGCCTGCCCCACCAGTCCTTGGGGAGGCCAGGCTGTGCAGGCCAGGTTAACGGCAAGTCCTGCCCAAGTGCCTAGACATCCTTGCCCTGTGGGCAGAGTCCTAGCAGCAGAACAGGGTCACAGAGACTGAAGGAAGAGGGGCCTGGGTGGCTGGGCACAGGACGAAGGTGGCCAGAATGGCAGAGCATGCTGGCACCTCCTGGAGCAGGCTGCTGTGGTCCCTGCCCTGTGGTGACCTGTGCATAAGGCAGGACCCAGGAGCACCCAACCAAGCTGGACTCTGGGGGGAGAGGTGCTGGTGGTGCTTTAGCCCCTCCATGACCCTCATTAGCTGCCCTAAGCAACCACAAGGCAGTCTGCTTGCTGTGCTATCCCAGCGTTAAGACAACAGTGCTGTCATTTACTCAGGCTCACTCTCTGCCCAGCACGGCTCTGAGGAATTTGTATATGTAAACTCACATCAGCAACTTTAATGAGCTGGGCACTAACATTCTCTATTCCACTAATGAGGAAACAGAGGCACAGAAAGGTTAAGTAAGTTAAGTCATACAGCTAATAAATGGCAGAGCTGGGGTTTGAATCCAGGCAGTGTGTCTAGAATCAGTTCTTTTCCATCAGGTTATTCTGCTTTACCAAGCCCCCCACCCCCTCACCCAGTGCCTCTCAGTGGAAATGCTGCAGCTGCCCTAGGCTCGGAAGGGTGGTGGCTGTGCTGACAGGTGGTCCTTCCCTGGGCAGCATGGTTGGTTCTGCAGATGAAACCTCAACCTGGTGCAGGAGGTGGCCTTCAGGTCCGCCCGGCCCCTCTGCCTTGCTTTGTGCCTTTGAGCAGGGGCGTGGCCCTTTCTGGGCCTGCCTCCCTCCCCCTATTTTTTTCCCAGTGGGGGCTGCACAGAGGAGCCCCCATGTTCAGTCAGGCTAGGATTCTGTGACTCTCTCTTGTAAACCACATCCCAGGAGGAGTTCACTGGCCTGGGTGGACTTTCCTCCCACCCCAGCTTTCATTCTTGGCCAACTCAGGAGTTGGCAGCCTCCAATCAGAAGCTGGGCCTGGGCAGGGAAAGGACAGAGAGGAAGGGCAGAGGATGGAGAGGAGTGAAGAGAGGTTGTAGGGACTGCAGCAGCTGCAGCCAGGAGGCAGTGGAGGCTGGGGATCTGGTGGGGTGGCTGGGCACCCAGCAGCCCCCACATGCTCCCTGAGCTGACTGTCACTTCTTGGGTGCTTGCCTGAGCTCCTTAGCCTGTGAGAGGGAAGAATGGCCACCATGCTGGTCATGGGGTGGCTGCTGTCATTGCTGGGGCAGCTCCAGAGGCCTCGGCCTGAGCATCTGAGTGCCTGGACTGCAGCAGGGACCCTGGCACTGCCCCTCTCTGCGGATTCTCTGCCTGCAGTGCTGCCTGTGCGAAGCTGTCCCTGTCCCCACAGGGTTCCCAACTACCTTCTGTGTGCCCCTCACCACCCACACGCAGGTCTGGCCACCCAGGGAATGGAAAGGTGACCGTGGAGCAGCTGCAGAACCTGCAGACAGTGGAAGCGTAGCCAGAGGCGGCTGAGAGCAGATTTAGTGAAGACGTCGGGCGGAACTGGCTGAAGCTCTGAACGGGAAGAGCGAGGAGCCTCTGTGTCTGCATGGATTGGGGCTTCCAGGAGCCACCATCCCTCCTGCACTTTGGGATCTTACTACAAACTTTTTGTTGTGTGTGGGGGAGGGGCAGGCCAGGGTGTAAATGATACTAGGTGTTTTCATGTTTTCTGAGAACCTAGATGGACATTCATTCACTCATTTATTCATACATGCAGTAAACTTTTTTTGCTGTGGGCTGGGCCCTATCTAAGAGATGCTTAAATGAGACCCTGACCTGGCCCTCAGGGAGCAGAGCAACTGTGTAATTCCCTCTAGAGACAACAGACTCACAGCCAGGCTCAGCCATTCTGGCCTTCCTCCAGCCTCTAGCTGACTTTCACAGAGGGGATGCAGGGAGGCCTCACTCCAGTCTGACCTGCCCAGCCTGGGAGGCTCTGGGCATAGCATCTCATGGGAGACACTGTGGTTTGGCTCTTGCTGTTCTGTGGGTTGGGTGTCCTTGCTCAGCTCCCCTTCCTCTCTCCTCAAAGGCTGGCTGGGTCTGAAGGGGTAAGGACAGGGTGCTCGCTCAGCAGGTGGGAGCAGTTGGTAGGGAGGCCCTCACCCCTCACCCTCCTTCCCCACCCCACCCTGCTGCTCCCTCCCTTACTGTCTGTAGAGCTTCTCTCCTCAAGGTGTAGTCCCTGGACCAGCAGCCTTGGCATCACCGGGGAGCTTGTTAGCCCTTCCCTTCCTCCTAAATCAGGGCCTGTGTTGCAATGGGGCTCCCAGGGGATTCGCGTGCTCCTTACACTCAGAAGCCCTGCAAGGGTGGGGAGCTCTGCAAAGCCTGGTTCTGAGGGAGGAAAGAGCCAGCTTCGGTGGGTGGCACCAATTTCCAGGCCAAACTTACTAGTACACACATTCTCCCTTGAAACTACAGGACCCCCCTTCCTGCCCAGGGAAAGGAACATTACACTCAATTCATTTAAATCAAAATATTTTAACTAGGCAACACTTGCTTCCCTCCCACCTGTTCTTGAGGCCACCTGTGTTACCAATTCCAAGAGGCTCCCTCGTTTTCAAACTGAGAATCCACTTGTTACTCAGGACGTGAACTTTTCCTCATGCCTGCAGCATCAGACCACGTCTCCTGTCAGAAAGGGACACGATGGAATGGGCTGGGAGCCAGAGAGCTTGCTTCTCCCTCCCCGTGTCTGGGAGCCCCTGTGTAAACCCAGGGGGAGAGGCCTAGAACTCTGCTTCAACTATGGCCGCAAAGGCCTGCAGTGCCCGTTGAACAGCTGCCAGGACACTGGGGAGCTCCTCTCTGGAAGTGCTCCCTCGGGTCTTTGGAGAGGGTCAGAAGGGGCTGGAAGGTTTCTGGTGAGGCTCCACCACCAGGGCAGAAGGTTGTGGTCCCTGCAACAGGAACCCTTTTGGAGCAAGCAGCTCCCTCCCCGTGGGCTGCCTGGTAACCAGTCCACAGCCCACCTGCTCTCTGAATAGAAAGTGAAAAATCGCCCTGACCGGTTTGGCTCAGTAGAGAGAGCATCGGCCTGCAGACTAAAGGGTCCCAGGTTGGATTCCAGTCAAGGGCATGTACCTTGGTTGCAGGCACATCCCCTAGTAGGGGGTGTGCAGGAGGCAGCTGATCGATGTTTCTAACTATCCCTCGCCCTTCCTCTCTAAAAAAAAAAAAAAAAAATTTTTTTTTTTTTTAAAAGTGAAAAATTGGGCGATCCATTATGATGTTTCACTTCATCACTAAAGCCAACTCTTGGACTGGGTAATCTAGCCTCTTTTATGTTTAGCAGGAAGTAACAAGGGCAGGGGCATGGCTGCTCAGGGTTGATCTGGTTTCTCTTAACCTATTTTTGGAATTGCTTGGCAGGAGCCATAAAACATAGCAACAGTTGTACTGTTTATTTTATATTGGAATGAAAATGTCCTCCTACACTATTCCGTCAGTAAATATTTATTGAATACCTACTGTGTCAAGTGTTGGATTAAATGCTAGCGACACAGTGGCAGGCAACACGGAGTCCCTGCTGGAGTGTTTCTAGTCCTGGAGCTAAACCTTAATAACCGGTAGTCACACACACCACAGACTGAACTGAATTTTCGGTGGAGTGGCCAGAGTTTCCCCCAAAAGGCGACTTATAAGCTCACATCTGAATGGCTAGTAGCAGTCTAAGTAGGTGACGGAGGACGCGTTCCACGTAAGGAACGGGATGAAGACTGTGATTGGAGCTGTGAGTCTTTCTTTTCAACTTACTTTAAGCGCTGCCCCAATAAACTTCACTGCCATAGAGGACCTGCTCAACCTAATTATTTCTTCAAGTCCAGAAAAGCTGTCTAGGTGACCTTCCTACCACCTGTCAAGGACACCATGCTCAGAAAAGCCAGTGACCCCATCACAGCACTGGACAGCTGCACACTGCCCACATCCCCTTGCTGCTTCTGTGTTTTTATTCCACGCCTCGGGAGTGCCATGCTACAGCTCAAAAATAAATCTGTAAATTGGGTGCCATCAATATGACATCACAGGGACCAGCCAGGAAAGGGCTCAGTGCACTCCACTCCCGAAGCAGGGGCCATCAGGACTGACCAATCACAGCTGCCTTTTCCCCTGCTACCCCATCAGTTCTTTCTTAGTGGCTGACTGCCAACTGGGGGACCAGCTGTGAAGGGGGAATGTGACTTCCTCCAGGAGTCTCTAAGCACCAGGTTAAGGACTACAGTGCTCTGCTTAGGGACTACAGAGTCGCTAAGTCATTCCACTTGGATTGGCATCTGGTATATCTGGAAAAGGGCTCCACTTGGTTCCAACCCACCCCCTGCACCCAAGTGATGCACCTTTCCTCAGAGCACTCTCCAGTGGACACAAGAATGCTCTCCCCCTAAGGCACACCTTTCTTCCAGCTGTGGGTTTCCCCTCAGGCCTATACCAGAACCAAAGGGAGGGGGAGGGAGCTGGCACATTTTCTGGGACGGCCCAGTGTTTGGATTCTCTGACATTTTAATTTGGTTATAAAACAACACAAAGGTTAACTTTAGATGTGTCGTGATTTTTCCCCCTTCACGTCTCCATGGTCATCCATGTTTTAGATTAAAATGTAAGGAGAAAGTGAGCCCAAAAGAGGCAGACACAGAAAGCACTAGTGGACAATATATTATGTTCCTTATTATCTTGCAAAGAAATTAAAATGAAAGTAAGGAAACTCTTTAAATGAGCAAACATTAAGACTAAGAAGGCCCCGATAAAACTGGCACTTTTCATTCAACGCGTAATCTGGTAATACTCTGGAAAGCATTTGAAATTGTTTTAATCTTCTGCTCTAGCCTATTCTCAAAACAATAAAGATATGTAGACATTCACTGCAGTATTTTTATAATAGTGAACATTTCAAACAACCTTACTGCCTAACAATAGAGGAATGGTTAGGTAAATCAGCTCATTTACCTCCCCTCCATCCTACTCCCCCAAGTAGGACCCACTGCTTCTTCCTCCTTAGCCCACATCAGGAATGAATTCCCCCTTCCCACTCAGAGAAGGCCCCGAGAGGATTGGGGATGCAAACCATTAAAGCAAATATCTTCAGTGGTGGACGGAGGGGGTTCAGAGGAAGCCACTGGGGGAGAGGGAGGCGAAGCGGTGGCCTCAGCTTCTTGGCTTCCAGTGCAAGCACATAGCCTGGGGATTCAGGCAGCCTGAGGCCCAGACCCATTTCCATTATTGGCCATGGCCCAATACTGTCTGCAAAAGGGGACTTGGGTTCAAGCTATTTCCCTTCTGATATAAAATTGATTAAAAAATCCAAATCTGATCACATAACTCTGGGCTAAAACTCCTAAAGACTTCCCTCAGTTGCTCTTACAATCAAAGCCACTCTCCACCATGTTCTTTCTGGTCCAGCTCTACCTCAGCTTCAGATACAGGCCAAACCCCTTCCTGCCCAATGGCCCTCACACACGTGCTTTCTTCCAAATACCCTTCTCCACATTTGGCTGTTATTCAGCCTTCGGTTCTCTAATGTGATTTCCTCAAAGAAGACTTTCTTGACCCCCACTCCCCACCTGCATTCAGTCTGGAGTGCCTATGTGGTCTCTTCGTAGCACTTACCATCATTCAGACATTTGTGAAATTAGGTAATGCTGGTCTTCCCAGTTACGACTGTAAATTCCATGAGCAACATGTTCACTACTATAACTTTAACGCAATACTTATCCCTCAATTAAAATATGAATTTTATTATAAGATTCCTCCTGACAAGAAGGAATCACCGATTAGCATACAGAGGCACTGACCCTCTAGACAAGCCCACAGATTAGTTTACAAACATCCAATCTGTCTAACCTTCATGAGACATATTTTAGAAGACAGCTTGAATTAATTTTTTTAAGTGGAAATGACAGCTGGCTGTAACGAGGTGAAACGGAAGTGACAGGACACCACTCACACCTGAAAGCAGTGGGTAGTGGAAGGGAAAGCGGGGCTGGAAAAGGTACACTCAGCCAATACAGCAAGAGCAATTAGGAGACCTACCCGAGGCCCAGCCGGGGCGGCTCAGGGTTCGAGAGTGGACCTATGAACCGGGAGGGCACATGCCCAGGTTGTGGCTGATCCCCAGTAGGGAGCATGTAGGAAGCAGCCAATCAGTGATTCTCATCATTGATGTTTCTCTCTCTCTCCCTTCCTCTCTGAAATCAAGAAAAATATATTGGGGTGGAGAAGAGACCTCCATGTGAATCCAGGCTCTGTCCTTCGGAGCTGTGCCGCCTCTGGAGCCTTAGGTGCACCAATGGCGACAAGGGTCACATCTACTCCATGAGGACATTGCTAGAATCAAACGAGATCACGGGCGTCAAACCCACGCGGCATCACGCCTGGTATGCAGGGCACACACTACACACCCACCGTTACTGGTTCTGCAGGTGTGAACGGTAAGTCCCCTCCGTTACCGACGGCCAAGCCCCACTCCCAGCCCTCCAGGAGCATCAACACCTGGGGCTTTTGCACCCACGACAGACTGGGGGTTGGGGGTGTGGGCGAGGGCGGGGAGGGTGCGCTCAGGCAGGAAGCACTCCGTCGGGCGGCTCACGCTTCATTTAATCGGAGGGCTATCACAGGCTCTCCGTCCTCCGGTCTAAGTCATAACGTTACAGAACAAGCAGTGAATCCAAACACTTAAAAACGAAGTCGGTCTACACGCGGTCACCGTCCGCTTCTCTCCGAGAGCCGGGGCGCCGGCCCCGCGTCAGTAGACGTGCACCATGCCGTAGAGGAACGTCCAGAACAGCACGTAGGTGAAGAGGCCTCCGACCAGGCCGCCCGTGAAGAGGGGCCTCCGGGACTTAAAGTATTTGTTCCACCTCCTGCCCGCCTTGAGGATGAGCAGCAGGGAGAGCAGGACGGAGGCGAGCAGGTAGAAGATGAAGCCGTAGAGGCCGGTGAGGCCGAGGATGCCGGCCGTGGCCCCCGACAGCGCCGACACCGAGGTGCGGCAGTAATCCAGGACCGCGGCGTTGCCTCGCACGGCGGCCTCGCTGATGAACGGCGGCCCTTCCCGCTTGGCCACCACCGCGGCCATCGCGCCCCTGGCGCTCGGCCTCTGCTTTCCCGCGGAGCTGCGGAGGAAACCGAGGGGCAAGTGGCGCCGGGAGCGTGGCGAGCGGGGTTCACGCCGCTCCTCCCCCCGGGGGCTTCACCTTCCCGCGGCCTGAGGAGGCCAGCCGGGGGTCGAGGAGCGGCAGCACGTCTGCATCCCCCGCCCAGGCTCGCCCGCTTACCTGGAACAGGGTCGCCGTCCCTCGGCGTCCCCTCAGACAGTCGGCGGTGCAGGCCCCCGCGGCGCCATCTTGCCCCAGAGCCTGCTGGGAGGTCCCGGGCTGCGCACGCGTCCAGACCCCGCGCCCGCCCTCTCGCGCATGCGCCGCGGGGCGCCCAGGCAGGTTCCGCCTCCTCCCCGCTTTACTACTCACCCCCTGGGACTTCCGAAAGCGGAACAGCGACCCGACGGGTGATTGGCTGGAGGCTTGTTAACTATTCATGAGGGGGCGGGCCGAGCCGGGCGGCCTTTGTTAACCAGAGGGCGCGGTCGCCGGGATTTTCACCGCGGGCTTCGCTGAGCGGGACTTGGCTGCCAGATTGGGGTCGACATGTCCTACATCCCGGGCCAGCCGGTCACGGCCGTGGTGGTGAGTGCTCTCGCGGGGGCTCCTCCTCCCCTTGGCTTGCTCCCACTTTGCAGAGCGGTAAACTGACACCCCATACAGGTTGGCAAAGCGGCGAACCCCGGGCTCCTGCAAACCCGCGGCTAGAGGTTCGGTCCTGGTTTCGACCGCGGGCTCCACAGCCATAACAGGGAAGGCTGGGACCCAGGAGCCTCAGATCCTGGACCTGGCCAGTCCCCGGCCGCCGCCGCGTTGGACTCCTTTCAGCCGGCCCGGCGGAGGACGGAGGAGAAAGGCCGGGTTGCGGGGACCTAGTCAAGCACCCAGGGCCTTCCCGAACCTGTGATCTCAGCTGGGTAGCCGCGGGGGGCGGGCACCGGCCCGGACATCCGTGAGTCGCAGCCTCTGGAATGAGGAAGTGCTTCCTCCACGCCAGGGGCGCCGCCGCCCCTTACCCCTCCTCACGTCCAGCCTTGCTTCCTCGGACTCGCCACCGCCCAGTCCAGAGTGAAGGCTCATACAACTGGCTCGGTCCCGCTCGGAACGTTCCCTGGATCCCCAGCTCTCGGGGCAAAGTCCAGGTCCCTTGCCTGGCACTCGGGGCCTGAGAGACCCTTTGGGGCCAGCTCAGGCCCCAGGCCCCCCACTTCTCCCCTCCCCCTGGCTTGTCTTGGGTGTTCAGGTGCAATTAGAATCATCCAAGGAAGGGAGGGAGGCTGGGACATTAGACCTAGATGTCAGTGCCACAGCTGGATGGGACCTGCAGGCCAGGAGGTGGGGACGTGAGTCCCAGGGAGGTCTGGTCATGGCCAGCCCCAAAAAGAAGCCCTCAGGACGGACCCGGATCTCTGAGAAGAAATGCCTGTTGGGAAGGCATTGGGTCAGGTGGAAGTCCCCGCTCCGGGGTCATGATCTCAGATGGGTGTGCTGGGAGTCAGGTGGTGTGGTGTGAAGTCACTGATAAGGTGAGCAGCAGCCCAGGCCTGGGCCAGGAGGAAACATTGCTGGGCTTGCCTAGGGCCGCCCTAACCTTCAGCCTGCTACACCAGCCTGACTTCCAGATCCCTCGCTGCCCAGAGAGGAGGAGGGGCCAGGTTTGCTCCTTACCTGGAAAAAAAGGGGTGACAGTAACTGGCCTGATTTCACCCAACTCAGTGACAGGGCCTGTCTCCCAGCCCAAGGGCCTGCACTTATTTTTTTTCTGTACTTTTTTACCTTGAAGGTGGGTCAAAGGTATGTATTGGAGCAGGCCTGGAGGACCTAGGGCATGAGGATCTAGGCCTGGTGGGCCTCAGGGGTTATGCTCTTGCTCCCCCCTCTAACATGTCATGGCTGGTCCCTGGGCCTTCCTCCAAGCTGTAGGACCATGACCTCCCAATTCTTCTAACACATGTCTGGACATGGTGGGTGGGGTTTGGCCTCTCGTGTGTTTGACTAGGGATGGGTGGGAGAGGCTTCCTCCCTCGCCCTTGTCATCTTCCATGTAGTTATCTTATTTTTTTTTTTTAATATATTTTTTATTTCAGAGAGGAAGGAAAGGGAGAGCGAGATAGAAACATCAACGATGAGAAAGAATCCTTGATCGGCTGCCTCCCGACACCCCACACTGGGGATCGAGCCCACAACCCGGGCATGTGCCCTGACTGGGAATGGAACCCTGACCTCCTGGTTGATAGGTCGATGCTCAACCACTGAGCCACGCCGGCCAGGTGTAGTTAACATCTTGAGAATATTGAAACCATTTTGGCCCCTGGGAACTTTGGCTCCACAGGCCCATCTGCCTTCTGGATACCTGCCTGAATGGCTCCTGGCACTCAAACTCAACATGAGATGGTTATATTCTGCCAGGCCAGGTGGCCAGAGGCTCCTCTTGACTCCTCTGTGCTATGAACAGCCCTCAAGCCTGCTGATGTCACTTTACAAGTAGTTCATGTCCCCTGGCCTCTACATCCCACCTCTAAGAGGAATCCATTCCCTACTACCCAAGTGGTCATTCTAGCATCTAACCCGATCACAACCGGCCCTACTTCCCAACTCTTGGGCGCTCCAGTGGGCCCAGAATGAAGATCAGGTCTCAGTGACCTGGTCACTCCCTCAGGTCCAGATCACTTGTGGAGTGGGGTGATCTGATCTGATTCCAGTATTTGGTGACTGGAGCATGTCTGTTGAGGGCTGTGAAAGGAGCCTGGCACAGTTGGGGACCACAGCCCCAGATATGGTAGGAGACCCCTAGGACTCTCCTCTACCTCCTCCACTGCACAAGAGCAGGGCCTGGGGCTGAGGGAAAAGAACCCTCCCTGGGGCCCAGTCTCCAGGGCCTTCCTGTCTGGCCCCAGCCTCTTAGCCTCTCCTCACCTCCCAGTTCCGGTCCTGCGCTGTACACCCTGGTTTCATGGACCTTTATGTATGGCACCTTCAAGCCTCTGCTCCTATGCCCTTGGCCAGGACAGCCCCTCCTCTCCTTTCTGTGTGAGTTTGATCTCCACTTCTCCTGAGCATCCTCTGTCTTGCCCTTACTTGGGCTGCCTCGGCAATCTGCCTGCAGTTTTTTTAGGGCCTGACCCCTTCTGCCCTGAGTGATCCCTCCCCTGGGATATAGCCCCCCATCCATAGCAACCATAGCAACTGGGGCTTAGAGCACCTGTTGACTAAGGCTGATGCCTGAGACAGAGGAAGGGGAGAGAGGTTGGGACAGAGTGTTATGTGGGAGAGTTGATGTGGCTGAGTCGAGTCTCAACCTGCCAGCCTCCCAGGCTGGTGACCAGCTGGATTTCTGCAGAGGGCCCTGGTCCCCACCCTCCTGGCATGGCTGAGCTGTTCCAGCAGCCTAGGGTGGGTGCGGGAGATACAGACCAGATTTGTTCTCTACTCACCCCCAACTCATTCTTTTCTTTACCAGCAAAGAGTTGAAATTCATAAGCTGCGTCAAGGTGAGAATTTAATCCTGGGCTTCAGCATTGGAGGTGGAATTGACCAGGATCCCTCCCAGAATCCTTTCTCAGAAGACAAGACGGATAAGGTGAGGACCAGAGTCCTGGGGCCTCTCCGTGCAGCGGAGGCCTGAGATGGTGGGTCTCTGCTTCCTGAGCCTCTTGGGAAGGAGCAGACCTAATCTCTCGCCAGCAGTCCCCTCTAAGAAGGTCTCAGATGTGATCTGGTGGGAATAAACAGGGGTGGGGGTGAGGAGTGGGCTGCCCAGCCCTAGGAAGACCCGTTTAGACAGAGCCCAGGAGCAGCAGGGGCTGGAGCATCCCTGGGCAGCCAGCTGTCCCCTTGGCTGTCTTGGCACAGCCTGTTCCTGGGGGTGGGGGCTGGAGGGAGGCTCAGTGCAAGGATAGACAGATGGACAGCTGGGCGTATGCCTACTGGACTTTGCTCTTTGGATAAGGGGCCAGTCCAGTGAACCCAGGGCTTGACGTGGGCTGTCTGTTTCCAGGGCATCTATGTCACACGGGTATCGGAAGGAGGCCCTGCTGAAATTGCTGGGCTACAGATTGGAGACAAGATCATGCAGGTAACAGAAGTGCCAACGGAGGAAAACAAGGCTTGGGTTGGAGGGGCTGAAGCATGTGGGAGTGGGGCTGAGGCTGCCCCTGCCTCCTGGGAGACTCACCCCAGCCATGTTGGAGCCCACGCTGGCCTTGCCCCAGAGGAAGCTGGCTCTCTTCTGTGTGTGGCAACTGGTGCTTGGCATCCCCTATCCAGGGGTCACCCGCCTGGGGCCTGCTTGGGTAAGCCAGGATCCCCAGAGCCCATCCTACTTCCAGATCCCAGAGGGTGGGGAGCTCAGGTGGCTGTATTTTCTCCCTGGGGCAGGTGAACGGCTGGGACATGACCATGGTCACACACGACCAGGCCCGGAAGCGGCTCACCAAGCGCTCGGAGGAGGTGGTGCGCCTGCTGGTGACGCGGCAGTCGCTGCAGAAGGCTGTGCAGCAGTCCATGCTGTCCTAGCAGCCCGCCGAGGTCCCAACGCGTGCCTGCCGCCTCCTTGTACAGTGACACTACTTCCACAGTCTGCCCCTTGTCCTGGCTCCTGCTGAGTGCTGGCCCCCCACTCCGAAGGCAAGAGCTGGTCCCAGAGACCTGACTGGCCTGCCTTCCCCTCACCAGTGGCCTGAGGCTCTGGGACCAGCCCTCCCTTGGACACCGAGGACTGGAAACAATGGCCTGGAGCCGAGTTGTAGTCAGTCTGTAGTGACCACAAGCTCAGCCCCCAGACCCTGCTGCCTGGTCTCAGCAATGCCCAGGGGAGCAGGGCCCCCACTTCCTGAGAGCGGCCGCAAAACAGAACGACGCCTGGTGGGCCAGCCCTGCCCTCTGTCTCAGCGCCAAAGTGCCTGTGTCCCACGCATTCCCGCTGCTCAGAGGGGATTCGACACTTCAGAGGCGGAAGTCTGCCAGCATGGAAGCCAGCGGGCTCAGTGCACCCATCGCCCCCCACTCCTCCGGGGGGCGCTAGCCTTCCAGGGTTCACCAGCTTACCAGATTTAGACGAGGTTTGAGGCCGACTTTTGAGGGCATTTTTCAAGATTGCCAATCTCCTCTATGCCTGTTTAACTTTTGTACTTTTTTAATCACTTTGATACAAAGGGTTTTTATCTTACTATTTGGAGATGCCAGTTCTACTTTGAATTTAGCTTACTAATTCAATCTGGGAATGACTCAGCAAATTAGAAAACCTTATTTTGGTTACTGTGGAAATGGGGCAGTATGACCCCCCCTCCCTCCCCCCGACACACACACCTTGTGCCCAATAAACAGAGCTGGGATTCACTGGGGTCTGTGCTAAGGTGCAGGCAGGGCTGGGGTACTTGGGGGTGGATTATGGGGACAGCTTTGTTTGTAAGGTCGGTGGACCTGGCCCTGGCTGCTCGGGGAAGAAGCCCCACTGTTCCTAGGCCCACGGGACATGGGCTTGGCCTGGCCACATCCACCTTCACCCAACTTCCCTTGTGAATCGGGTCTCAGTCCCCACCCAGGAGCCTCATGGTGACCAAGGGGTTCATGGGAAAAATACCCTCCCCCTATGGCTCTTAAGAACACTCAGTTGATCACAGCCAGGGATGCAACCCCAAACGTTTCCAGAGGCTGCCACCTGACAAAATGGGGTGACTGGAGCCCTCCAGGTCTCTGGCTGGCCCACCATGGGCTGCATCACCAGCTCTGGGAATTGTTGCCAACTCATGGACCCACTGACAAATCAGATTTTTGAAATCTCCCACTTTTAAAGTGTGGCACATGGTAACATACTGGGTGGCCCAAATAAAACAGGTGTGCATACTTGGTCAGGCTGCAATCTCTGCTTTGGGGAAATAAAAGCCTAAATTACTTGGTATTTTTACACCTAGATTGATGAAGAATCTGGAAAGATCAGACATCCCTCCACTCCCAGTGGTGGTGTGCCCTTTAAGACCTCACCCAACCCCTGCTCACCACCACAGCTTGAGCAGCGTGCCCCTGGGAACACAGGCGTGGGACCCGTGGGACCTACCTGGCCCTGAGCAGGCAGGCGTCTGGCACTACCCAAGCGGGGTCCCCTGATGAAGTGCCAGGTCGGCACGCGGTCACCTTGGGAGGCCATCTCCCTAAGCCCCAAGGACTTGGTTCTGAAGCCAACACATCTGGCAAATGCTCGGCGCACAAAAGGAAACAGGTTTTAATCCAGGATACAGGCCCCTCATTGAACTTGTAGTAAAAAGTTGGAGAGTGGATAGACAATCTCAAGGCACGTACAAGGCATGTTTCCAGAGGCTGCCATCTGGTGTCAACTGGTTGGGTTTGGAGGGAAGGGGATTTGGGATCACGGTTGGCCCATGGGTCTTATGTGAGGTGGTCTCAAGTCCTTCTCCGAGGCTACTGAACAGCCCAAAATTGGCGAGTCTCAGGTCTGGGGGAAGTGAGGGGAGCTCACCATTTGGCGGGTCCAACAGGCCTCTCAGGCACGGAGTGAGTGAGTGTGTGTGTGTCCTGTATCCAGACACAGGGGAAGGAGCAGCTGAGGGTTTCACGCGGGCCTGACTGGAAAGTGGAGGTAGGCAGACAGCCACTCACTTCCAAAACATCCCTCCCAAAAAGCCAAAAGGGGTGTTAGTGTGATAAAGAGCCACAGGCTGTTGGGAGTGAGCCCAGTTCAGAACCACAGGGTGCTGGCACCTCAAGACCCAGAAATACTGTTTCTTTACTAGGCGCTGGCCCAGGCCCCCTGTGCCTGCAGTCGTGGAAGCTGGGTTATGTAGAATAAGTGTCAGGAAGGTGGGTGTTCAGACTCAGAGAAGGGACCCAAGGCCTAACCCCAAAGTCCCAGCCCCTCTGCCACCAGCACAGCACCCCTCAGTCCACTGGCCACAGCACCTGGCTGCTTGGTCTCTGGGAACAGCAGTGGCACCAAAGCTGCAAGTTCAGTCCTTCAAGCTGCTCCCAGAAACACTGGTTGCTTGAGGCAAGGCCTGCTCCCAGCTCCGCGTCCAGTCCTGCTTGGCATGGCTCTCAGTACCTGTGGGTGCTGCCTGAAGCCTTAAAGAAAATAGAAATGGCAGCATCAAGTCGCAGGGGGGGCCAGGTGACTGCCAGTAAGACCCAAGGGGCCGCCAGCAGCCAGCCTTTTAATCTCGCAGCAGAGTCAGGCGTCTGTCTCAGAGGGAGGTTTCTCCCCGGCCCTGGAAAGTCCTGGACGAAGGCAGGCTGGTTCACGTTTAAGGTGTTGGGCCCTGAGGAAGAGAACGCTTCTCCGATGTTGCACACCGAGCCAGCCCTGCACTCCAGGCTGCTCTCCAGCCTCCTGATTGGGCACAGGGCCCGGGCCACTGACACTGGTGTCCTAGGTGCTAGTTCACCTGCTCATACCCGGGTTTCCTTCTGTACAAGCAGAAGTGCTGGATGAAGAAGACAATGTCGAAGAAGATGGAGAAGATGCCGAGTCCAAACTTGGTTGGGTCTCCAAAGACCAGTGTCCAGTGGTCTGTTAGCCAGAGGGGACAGAATCTGGTTTTAGGCTGGCAGCTCCCGGGGCTGTGGAGGGTGGGGGTCCTCACCTGTCCAGGAAACCACCAACCCTGCCCTTGCAGATGCCCCTGGGGGGACCTAGGGGCTGGGACTGCTTGGATTCCCAAGCCGTGGGGCAGGCTTGGGGGGTGGGGCTTGCCCGGCCCACCGCTGATAGACTCACCATTGTTGTAGGACTGGAGGAACATCTGGAGGAGGCTGAAGCAGCCCCCAGTGAAGTCCAGAAGCACGTTGCCAATGCTCCAGCCCTCGGTGCTTTTGTAGACAAAGTTCATGTAGGCCTGGGCAGCCAGACAAAGACACGGAGGGCGGTGAGGGGGCTGGGTGGCTGCCTCATGAGCCTCCTGACGGCCACTCCAAACAAGAGCGGCTCTAATTCCTCCCACTCGTGTGCTCCGGCCTCGGCTCCAAAGAACACAGTGACCTTTGGGCTCTGACAAGGCGTGGCGGAGAACAGCTTGGGTGGTCCTGGGGTCTCATCCGCACGCACAGTGAGCAGGGCCCTCTGCCTCCCCCCCTGCACCGCACAGCCCCGATGGAGGGAGGCTGGCATGCTGCTTCTCCATCTTCTTCCCCCTCCCTGTTCCAGGACAAAGCCCTCTTGTGGTTTTCCAGCCACTCGGATTTCCTCCTCATCTCCCATGAAGACTCCCCCCTTAGCCTGGACTCCATGCTGTGCTTGCGACCCGGGCTCGGGGAACCGCCTGGTCTGGAACACCAGCTCCACCACTGGCGCCCGGTGCCTGGGGCGTTCTCCTAGCCTTGGTTTCTCCAGCTGTAGAGTGGGCTTACCTCCCGCCTCAGCCCTGCTTGGGCACCGGGGTCTCTGGCTCAGGCTTCCCAGGTCTAGTGGGCGGATCTACCGGACACCCCCTCCTGCTGCTGCCAGTGCCGCACCTCCTCCCTCCAACGCCAGCACCCTCCGGGTTCCTCTGCTAGGCCTGGGGTCTTCTCCCAGTCAGCCATCAGCCAGGCCCCCTTTTCTGTCCTCTCGCACCCTCTCCATACTTGCTGCCACCTCTCCAGTCTTGGACAGTTTCAAACGTCTCCAAGTTGGGACTCCTGCCTCCCAGGTTTCCCAGCCCCAAGCTTTCCCACAGTCAGGAACCCAGGCCCCACTTCCCCCAAGACCTGCCCCCACCCCAAAGCCTTCTTCCCAAGCCCCTGGTGCCTGGCCCCACCTTCCTTTTGCTCAACACTGCTCGGCCTGCCAGGTGTCCTTGCTGCCTCCACGCTTTCCGGCCTGCGGGCTGTGTAAGCTGCCCCCAGCCTGGAATTCCCCCTCCTCTTCTGTCCACAGAACTGAGTCTTGTTTATCCTTAGGGACTGGCTGTTTCAGGCCCCCCAGGAGACTGGCCTTGACTCTGGCCAAAACGTTCTCCTTCCTGAGCCCACAGGCATGAGGTTCCCTGTGCTGGGGAAGCTGAAAAGGGCTTCTCCACAGAGAACAAGGTGAGAACGAGGCCTCCACTTGTAAGTGGAGTCTGCAGTTGGCACTTATGTCACAAGCGATGCTGTCCCCGGCCACTCCAACAACGGGGCAGGCATGCTTGACTCTAAGTCCCTGGGTCTGCATAGGCCTGTCTGAGTGCTCAAAGGAGGCTGCTGAAGGTCCGCAAGGAAGGCCTGGATGGGAGTGGAGATCACAGTGGTGGATTCCCTCCTCCCACCTGATCTTTCAGGGCTGTTGGCTGTGGTAATGGGGCAGAACTGAAGCTGCTAGGAAAGTTGGGATGGAGAGACCTGCACCACCCCTGACTCTCAGCTGAGTGTGAGCTCAGTCTCCGCTGAAGTCTTCGTGAGATTTTGGCGCCAGGGAAGAGCAGGTGGCGGTGTGGCCAGCTTTCACCTGGTCCCGTCCTGCTGGGCCCATGGCTTCCACTGCGGCTTCCCATGCCTGGTCCTCGCCCCAGCCAGGACAGGGCCAGGGGCCTGTATCTCACCCCCTTACCCCGGTGGCCACATGGAAGGGAAGGAGGGCCCCAGAAGTACCTGCGGAAAGTACTTGACCAGTGTCACCGCGAGCTTGATGTAGGAGAAGCAGAAGAGAAACTGCAGCCACGTGATTACCCCGACTGCGGCCAAAATCATGATGATGAGCGCGAAGAGCCACGAGAGCACCAGGAAGCCGATGGCGGGCCAGGACACCCGCTGGTCGCCGCGCTGGGATGAGAGGGGGAAAGGGGTGGGAGGTGGGCGTGGGTGGGGGCAATGCCCTTGTCACTATCGGGGTCTCTAGTTCAGTCCTTCTTGGACTTTCCAGAGCCCAACTGCTTCTTGTTTCCACAATGCAGAACTGGGTGCCTCTCAGAGCTCCCCAGGAGCGAAGGATGTTGGGGATGGAACCCAACACCATCCCAGCCCAGGACTGTTCATTCCATGATGCAGAGGGAGCCTGACCACTCTGGAATCTGTCCCCACCCTTCCCCTTCCCCTTTGCCCAAAGAAGGCTCCTTCGCCCAAGCTCCACAGCAAAGAGTAAGAAAACCTGGAAGGTTCGTGAAGGCGGGGCCCAAGCAGCGTGGCTGGCCTTGCGTGTATGAAGGGAACTCTGTGAGGGAAGTGGTGCGCCCACGGGGAAGTGAAAGAAAACACCACGTCAGCGACCAGACACATGGCCCAACGCGGCCGAGTCCAGACCCCCCAGGACCTCTCGGGGCCCTCGTGAGCCTCCTCCTCACACTGAACCCCAGCTACCTCCACCGGCTCATGGTGGCTCTCACTGCCCCTTGGCCTTCACAGTCAGTGCCCCAGCTGGGGGTGCCCCGCCCTGGCCCTCTTCCCCATGGCCACAAGAACGTTACTCGCCCCACGGACTACACTAAACACCAATTCCTGATGCCCTCCTTCCCCCTCCTTGCTGGCTGGGCCATGCTCTCCCGTCCCCTCAGCTCTCCGCCTGCTGGGTCACCATCATGCCTTTCTGTCCCGCACTCCAGACCTGGAGGAGGGGCAAGAACTTGGGCTCGTGGTGTGGTCCCTGTGCCTGGCCTATTATCTTGGCCCAATAATCAATCAGATGCTGAGCGATCCAACACGTGTCCTTTCTGAGGGCCTCTGTGTCTTTAGAGTGAAACAGCAGGTGTGGGCAGCAGGTGGTGGTGGGTGCTGCCTGGCAGCCACAGGGAGCAGGTGCCATTCCCTCTCTCACCTCGTACAGGAGGCACTGCACCAGGACCACCAGGGTGAGGGCCACGGCGTGCAGGCTGAAGAAGATGTCGTTAATGGCCACAGGGTTCACTCCATTCGGGTATTTGAGGAAAAACTGCTCCTGTTGAGGGGGGTGACGAAGCTGAGTGAGGGGCAGCCAGGCCAGGAACTGCTTGGGCTGGGCTGTGGTGGGCGGGCAGGGCCATACCTTGATGTGTGGCATCCAGAAGAGGCCAACGTTGAACACGCTGTAGGCCACGAAGCCCGTCAGGTTCAGGGTAACGAAGTCGAAGCTCAGACCAACAACACTGCGGGAGGGGAGATGGAGACGGGGCAGGTGAGCCGGCCGGTGAAGGCAGGGGTGGGGTGGGGGGGCGGGGAGGGGAAAGAGCTCCCAGCACGCGGGAAGGAGGGCCCGGCGGAGCACTGGCCTTGGGCCCCCCTTCATGCCACCGTCGATGCCACTCAATCCCACCCTCTTGGGAACCAGGTTCCTCCTGCCTCAAGTCCTGGCCCCCGAGGGAAGCTTGGGGCCCCCTGCAGAAAGGAGGTGCCTCCCCTCCCTGGCTCCCTGCTCAGCAGCTCTGCAGGAGGCCCACATGGCGAGGTGATTGTGGGAAAGCTTGTGTCCTTGCTGCATGAAGACGCAATCGCAGGCCCACTTTGTCCTTCTTTCCTCCCAGGGATGTATAACTGTCACACAATATCCTTTTCATTTCAGAAATACACCATAGTGATTTGTTATTTATATACATTACAAAATGATCCCCACAATAGGTTGTTACCACCTGTCACTATACAAAGTTATTACAATATTATTGACTATATTCCCTGTGCTATACCTCACATCCTCATGAGTTATTCCTTTCACACCTGGAAGTTTGTACCTCTTCATCCCGTTCACCTATGGCACCTACTCCCCAGTGTCTCCCCACCACCCCGCTCTGGTAACCACCAGTTTGTTACCTATACCAATGAGTCTGTTTTGTTTTTAGATTTCATATTATAAATAAAATCATCCAATATTTATTTTTTCTATTTCACTTGGCATACACCTTCTAGGTCCATCCACGCTGTTGAAAATGGCACGATTTCATTCTTTATTATGGCCGAGTGATGTTCCATTGTATATATGTACCACATCTTCTTTACCCATTTGTCTATCAATGGACACTCAGGTTGCTTCCATATTGCAAATAATGCTGCACTGAACCCAGGGGTGCATATATTTTTTCAAATTAGTGTTTCTGTCATCTTTGGATAAATACCCAGAATTGCTGGATCACATGGTGGTCCTATGTTTAATGTTTTGAGGACCCTCCATACTGTTTCCCACAGTGGCTTCATCATTTTAAACTGCCACCAGTGTATGAGGGTTCCCTCTTCTCCACATCCTTTACAACACTTACTTTTTGACTTTTGAATGATAGCCATTCTCACAGGTGTGAGGTACTATCTTGGGGTTTTGAACTGCATTTCCCTGGTAGTGATGTTGCACATCTTTTCATGTGCCTGTTGGCCATCTGAATGCCTTCTTTTGAAAAAAGGTCTGTTCAAGTCCTCTACCCACTTTTTAATCGAGTAGCTTACTTATTTTGATACTTACTTATACAAGTTCTTTGTACATTTTGGTTATTAACCTCTTTTCAGATATATGACTTGCAAATATCGTCTCCCATTCAGTAGGCTGCCTTTTTGTTTTGTTGGTTTCCTTTGCTATGCAAAAAGCTTTTTAGTTTGATGGAATTCCATTTGTTTATTTTTGCGTTTGTTGCCCTAGTCTGAGAAGACATATCCAAAAAAAATGTTAAGACTGTTATCAAAGAGCTTCATGCCCATGTTTTCTTCTAGTTTTATGGTTTCAGGTCTTACATTCAAGTCTTTAATCAAAATGGTGTAAGATAGTGTCCAGTTTCATTCTTTTGCAGGCAGCTGTCCAGTTTCCCCAACGTCATTTATTGAAGAGACTGTCTTTACCCCATTTTATATTCTTAACTCCCTTGTTATAGATTGACTGTGTATGTGTGGGTTTATTTCTGGGCTCTCTATTCTATTCCATTGATCTCTGTGTCTGTTTTTGTGCCAGGACCATGCTGTTTTGATTACTACAGTCTTGTGGTATAGTTTGATATCAGGGAATGTGATACCTCTTTTTTTTCAAGATTGCTTTGGCTATTTGGGGTCTTTGTGGTTTTATACCAATTTTAGGATTCTTTGTTGTAGTTCTGTGAAAAATGCCTTTGGTAATTTGATGGGGATTGCATCGAATCTGCGATTGCTTTGGGTAAGTGTGAACATTTAAACAATATTAATTCTCCCAATCTGTGAGCATCGTATATCTTTCTAGTATTTGTATCTTTGTCAATTTCTTTCTTGATGTCTGTTTTCAGAATACAGGTCTTTCACCTCCTTGGTTAAATTTATTCCTAGGTATTTTAATTTCTTAGATGCAGCTGTAAATAGGATTTTCTTAATTTCTTTTTCTGAAACATTGTTATTCGTGTATAGAAATGCAATTTAAATGTATTTCCTCCACATATAGTCTAGGTGCCTTTAAAACGAGTTTTGCTGTGCCCCAGGGTGGGTGAGTCCTCACACAGGGCCCTCGTAACATCCCTCTCTGCTACAGGCCTCCGTGTGGGAGATGGGATGCCCTTCGTTACCATGTCTCCATCTCTCCTACCCTTCTGTATGTGGTCCCTCTATCCTTTGTTGTGCAGAAGCTGTTCAATAGGACCTCAGTTCTCTCTCTCTTTTTTTTAACATATTCTTATTGATTTCAGAGAGGAAGGGAGAGGGAGAGATAGAAACATCAAAGATGAGAGAGAATCACTGATGGGCTGCCTCCTGCACACCCCCTACTGGGGACAGTGCTCGAAACCAAGCATGTGCCCTTGACCGGAATTGAACCCCGGACCCTTCAGTCCACAGGCCAACGCTTTGTCCACCGAGTCAAACCGGCTAAGGCTAGGCCCTCAGTTTTTTTTAGCAGGAACTGCTCTATATGTAACGTAACATATATTCGTATATTCATATATTCCGAGTATGTCTGTGGGAGGAGGTGAGTTCAGGGTCTTCCTACACCCATATCCTGCCCTCGCCTCCCTCTTTGTTTTTATAATCAAGGTGGGAAGGTTTAATCTCCAAGGCCGAAGGATCCACCTCCGGTACTGTAGCATAGCTTGACTTTCATTCCTCCAGGGCTGGACGGACCGAGATAAGAGAATATTTGGGTGGACGTCGCCCCCACTCAGCCCGTTCTCCGCTTCACTGAGAAGTCCCATTGTGTTGCTTTCACAGGGAGGAGCTAAACTGGGCAAAAGACCAACTGCCCAGCAGTACAAGTGCCACCACAGGCTCTTAGAGCTCTCACCTCAACAGCTTTCTAGAAAGGGCAGGAAAGGAGATAAGCAGAGGAGGGAAGGGCTGAACCTGTGCTACCTACTGCCTCGTGGGAATGCCCGTCATACGGGCACCAAACGACCCTGAGCATACAGCTCAGCAGATTACCTTTTCCGCCTCCAGTTCATGATCACCTGCGGGTAGAAGGAGATGGACCAGGCGGCAAAGTAGATCCAGCCAACCACCTGGTTTATGACACTGACGACGTTGCTGCGGATCACCAAGAAGCGTATCCTTGGGCTGGAAAGGATTTGGAGACCAGGATGAGCTGAAATGGGGCTCCCGAGAGAAACCCCCACGGGCCGGCACTGCCTTTCTTCTCACCACTTAAACCCCAGCTTACCCGATTTGGCTGGAATGATTTTTGTGCAGAAAAACAGTAATTTGTCCCACATTTCGAGATGTCACTTGAAAAGAGGACTCTGTCGCTCCAGGAGGCACCACAACCTATAGGAAAACTGCATTCGATCCAGTGCCATGTATTTGTTGGGACCTGAGTGTCCTGCTGCAGACCATGCACTAGGAGATGTGGGGGCAGATCACACAGGGTCCCGGCCTTCCGGGAGCTTACTAACAAAAGGGAGAAACACGACCAACCAGCCAACTGGAACCCCCATACACCGATGTGTTATGCTAGACTCTCTGAGCAGAACGTGGTTCTGCCCTTGGGCCTACCCTTGGCTCATCTCTGAGGGAAGGTGGGACGGCTCCCTTCCTCTCACCAGTCAGCGATCTGTGGATCAAGCCACACCTCAGACAGCTGACCGCCAGGACCTGCTGTTAGAACCACTGGCTTTTCTTCGCCCGCAGCAGGCCTGACACCTGGGGCAGGAGAAGCTGCGTCTAATGATGTGTGATGCTCACTATGGGATGAGCTGAGATTCCCTTCTCACAGGAAGCCCAGGCTTCCACACGGTCTGCTTGCCAAGGGGCTCAGGGCCAGTTTGCAGCCCATTTCTACAACCACACAGGGCCTCGCGGCATGCCTCACGGTCCTCAATTTCATCCCTGTATTCGTCTTGTCTGTTTCTTGTTAAAACCCTCGTTTACTTTATACTGCCTCCCCTATTGATGTTTTTTATCTAATTTATCAGTAATTGGCTCAAATCCTTACTAAGGCCGAAGCAGGGTGTATACTAACAGACAAAGGCATAAGGGCTATGAATAGTTATCGCTGTAATACCAGACAGACTCTGGCACTGGGTTTTGGAAATAACACTCAACCAGTGGGATCTCAGAACAGTGCTTGGCAAACCTTAATGTGGACTCAAATCATCCAGGGATCATGCTCATGTGCAGATTTTGCATCAGTGGATCTGGCACGGGGCCTGGGAGTCTGCATTTCTAAAAAGTTTCCAGCAGGGACAATGCTGCTAGGCCTTGAACACCCTTTGAGTAGCGAAGTCCTAGAAAACTATCTTAAGAATGTCTTCTACATTCACAGAACCATTTTCTGCCTTACATTTCTTACCATCGCCTTCCTAATTCCGTCTATACAGCATAAGACGCCCCCTCAAGGAGACCAACAAAGCCAAAATCAGAGATTTCTAGAGGGATGGGACGGGGGCAGCCCACAGCCTATAAACCAGGTGGCCCACTTCCAGAAGCACTCAATTAAAATGTGTTTTGTTACCCAGCAGTTCTCTACCCACCAGTTAAGGTTCATTACTTACTTCATCTGGCAGCTCAAGGATAGTGATATTTTTTGAATGAAATGTGATTTCAAAAGTGATCACCAAGGTTGCATTTAGGGGATGCCTGTGGGGGACAAGAGTCTGATTACTACTGCGGAGTGGGACTCTGTGTGATCTCAACTCACCTTTGGACTTCCCACGGGGCCTGTCATTTCTCAAGCAGTTAGGGTGAGGAAGTGCTATGTGCTCAATCTGAGGGGAGAGAAGGTGGGCTCCCTGCTCCTTAGGAGTTTTCTATCCTTTTAAAAAATATTTATTTTTATTGATTTCAGAGAGGAAGGGAGAGGGAGAGAGAGATACAAACATCAATGATGAGAATCATTGACAGGCCACCTCCTGCACACCCCCTACGAGGGATGGAGCCCACAAACCAGGCATCGAACCATGACTACCTGGTTCATAGGTCAATGCTCAACCACCGAGCCATACCGGCCAGGCAGGAGCTCTCTATCTTTATCAGAGGAAAAGATGTCCTACTGGGGCTGATTGAGACCACAAGAAGGTGTGAAACTGGCTGTGAATGCCAAATAAGGTGTCCAGAGGCCGACTGGGCGATGACACCTGCTCTGGTGGGAAAGGCTTCGGAGAGGCTGAGCAGGAAGCACTGTGTCCCCAGAAAGCCATGAGGCATGTCTGGGCAGCCCAGGGGGGCTCAGGTCTGCACTGAGAGGCCTGGCGTTAGTTTAGAAGGCAGTGGAAAGCCACTCCAGGGTTCTGGAGAGGGGAGAGCTGTGGTGAGGGGATGACATGTCAGATTCACCAGGTGTCCAGGTACAAGCGGCCGGGCTATAGACAGAATGTAGGTCTGTTGGGGAACCTTGGTACCAAAGCTGTGGTTTGAGAACAGACTTCCCGGGAGGGGTGAGGAAAGGGAGAGGGGGAGAGATAAAGGACAGGGCTCCAGACCTTCCTCTACAGGATCCATGTGGCCGGGAGGCAGGTGCAGGGGGAAGCAGTGAAGGGTGCAGAAGAGGGAGGCTCTCAGCACAGTCTGAACTGGGTCGGCACCCTCATGCCTGATCCAGCAGAGGTCAGCAAGACAGACTCTCAGTGGAGGCTAAGTGTGAGGGTCTCACAAACGGGATCCACAGATGGAGTCCCTTCTGCTTTAGGAAGTGATCTAACGAGTGCTCAGCTCCTTACCCATGACCTCAGGGCTCTCCTCAAATACTTAGAGCCTGGGGAAGGGCCACTCTGAAGTCTGGCATCAACTGCTGGCCACTCAAGGACTCTTCTCGGCTGGGGAAAAGGCTCCATGACTGGGGAGAAGCCTCCTTCCTGCTCCTCACCCCGGAAACAAGGGTTCTGTGAGTGGGGGAAGAGAGACTCTGGGACCTTGGTCTGCAGCCCAGGGCTGGTGCCTCTCTTCCTCTGGCTGCTCTGAAAGTGAGGAGGCATGAGCATCACACTTGAAATATGAAGGGCCGGAGCCGGTGGGGCGACGAGGGGGGCCGAGGGCAGCTCTGGGCCTAGGCACTTACTGAAGGGCGATGCGGACATTGGCTGAGCTCCCATTTTCCAGCTTCACCGTGGGAGGAACAGCAAGGTTGACCGTCGACTCTGGAAGGACCCGAATCAGTGGCATTAGTCATGAGGTCAGAGACGTAGGCCCACAAGGAGAGACGGAGCAGGGCCCCTGCCATCTGAACTCAGGAACTATGTCCCATGATGACCCCTATCTTCTAGGAGAAGACATGGACGTTCTGAGGGACTCGGTGATGCGACTGGAAACCAAAGCCCTCATTGTGCTCTCTCACCTCCCGCTGCCATTGGAGGGAGACACAGGCCTGAGCGGGAGACGCTGCCGCTTCCTCCTCCCCAGCATCGCGGGCTCTGAGGGTGTGCAGCCGAGTTATCGGAGACAGTTTTACAAACTAAAGGCATTCAAGCCACAACCCGGGACTGGAAAACGCGGACTTGAACCACCTCTTCAGATGGAAGGCACAGGAGTCTCCTCTGTTTGTGGAGCTTCAGTGGCCCCGCAGAATGGGTCCGGCCTCTCCTTGAGCATTTCTTTGATTATTGTCAGCTGAGTCCAGTGGTGTTGGCAGAGCCACGTCCTAGAGACAGGGCTCAGGTGCCAGGGGGTGGGTTTCATTATCTAAGTTCAGCCAGGCGCAAGGAACGGACGCAGTTATCCGGGCTCAGCCAGAAGTGACAATTACAATGAAGCCACAAGAATGAAGAATTACAGGTTGATCTTTAACCATGATTTCACATAATTTCCTTTGTCTTAAACTCTGGTAAAACTTCCTGGAATCATACTGTATAAAATACATGTGCTGCACCAGAGGGCCAGCTGTCCCACTTGGTCCCAGCTTTCCCTACTGTCTGTGTCTGTCTCTTTCTTTTTCTCAATCCCCCATCGCCCCTTCTCAGGACTCGTGTCTGCTCTCTAGCAGTGCTGGTCGAGGTCCAGGAGAGAAATACTTATACTCAGACACATGGGCCCAGCTAACCTGTTTCTCAAAAAACCCTGTTGGGTTCCCATATGAACCTGAACCCAGCTCAACCCATTCACTGATCCCCCTTCCTGAGGCCAACTCTGCTGGGGACTGCGAGGGGAGACTGATTGCCTCTTGGCTTTGAGGTGGTAGCTTAGGATGAGGTAGACAAACAGGCGCCCGGGGTGAGGGGGGAAGCAGGTGTGGGAGGCGAAACACCCCAGGGCAACTTGGCTACAGAACATGAGTGAGCCAGCCTCTCTGGCCTCTTCCCGTGTTCTTAGGGCAGCACCTCCCGCCCCCCATCCCAGGTATGCTCACAGATCCAGGCACCTGTCCACCGCCCCTCCCTCACCTCCAGGCCTTCAGGATGACGCACAGCATAAGGTATGGGCATGAATCTGGAATGGAAGTGGAAGGGGCCCACAATGGGAAAGCAAGTGCTCAACTTGATGAAGACGGTCCTTGTTGGGGTAGTGGCCGCAGGCAGGGCCCAGGTCTCCCTGTCCCCAGACCATGAAAGGCAGAAGGCAAAGAACTGAGTTTAGGCGCCCAGGTGGGAAGGGCATTTAGAGGTTCTCCACTGTCTGATCGCCCTTCTCAATACCCCTACCTGGCAGTTTCCCTTCCTCTGCCTGGACACCCAGAAGGAGTAACCCCATCTCCTCCAACGGAAGGGCCAGCCTGGAACTTACACTCCTGGGCCTGGCTCTGCTACCCGGGACCTCTCAGACCCTATCTGAGCCACGTTCCTCATGCTGACCCTGCACGTGTGAATGCAGAGGCAGACTTTGTCCCATGTCTGCAAGTCTCCAGGTGCAGCTGACTCCACCAGGGTCGCTCTGAGTGGCACTCCCCCCCCCCCTCCGCCCCCTCCCCCCGCCCCCCACCCTTGCAGAGGCCAAGCTGCATAGAGTAGGAAAGTCCCTCCCTTACGTGTAGCCTTGGGGCCTGGAGGTAGCTTTGACAACTCCACCTCTCCTTTTTCACTCACTGCGCCCATTGACAACCCGTGGCTTTGTTCTGGGCTTGCACAGCTGGGGTAGGTCCTTGCTGTTACTTTCCATCTAGAGCTGAGGACCATACCGGATGAGCAAGACTGTGACAAGATGGTACCCAGGACAGGGACACTGAAAGTGATGCCAGGCAGCCACCAACACCGCTGGGTCCCCAGGGCTCCGCCGGGACTGTGATCAGGGTGAGTGGGAGATCCCCAAGGCCTCTGCTCTTCCACCGTCTTTCTATTTCAAAAGCGGAGTCTGGACGCTCAAAGAACCAGATCAAGGGATGTTTACTTCCCTCTCAGTGCTCAGCAGTCGAGAGACTGGGCTCTGAGGTCAGACAGATCCATTCTGGCTCTGTCGCCCCCTAGCTGTGTGACCCTGGGTGTACGTAAGCCTGTTTCCTCCCCGGTAACATGGGGAGAATAGTACTACCCACCTCACAGGGCTTTGTAAAGAGAAAGCGATGTCTGCGACTTTCCACACTGAGTGCTGAACCATTGCTGCTGACTATTCTTAACACCATGTAACCAAGGCAGGGCATTTTTTTTTTTTTTTTTTAAGTGGGAGGCAGTTAGAAAACTGGCATCCTATCCTGGGAAAGCACACTTTAAAGTTTGCCCTGGGGCAGGAGTCTCCGGATACAACATTGGAATTACCAAATGAATCTTAATGAGACCACCCCAAGTTACCTCTAAGGAGTCTGTTTTCATCTCTCTCTCTCTCTCTCTCTCTCTCTCTCTCTCTCTCTATATATATATATATATATATATATATATGTTTTTATTGATTTCAGAGAGAGGAAGGGAGAGGGAGAAAGAGATAGAAACATCAATGATGAAAGAGAAGCATCTATCGGCTCTCCTGCATGCCCCCTACCAGGGATCCAGCCTACAAGCCAGGCATGTGTCCTGACTGGGAATCGAAAAGGGGCCTCCTGGTTCATGGGTCAATGCTCAACCACTGAGCCAACTTAAGGGCCCTGACGATCACTCCCTAAAGCAAGGAGAAGACAGGCCCGCCAGACTGAGGTCAGAAAGCCAATTCCAGTTATTGATTTTATGGTGGTTTCCACTGTGTATGACACTCAGGAAAGGAGGCAGAATGGTAAAATGGAATAGGGACCCTACTCAGGTCCCATCTTAGTTACTGTCTAGCTCTGTGACTTTGGGGAGGACCTTTATCCTCTCTGGGCCTAAATTTCCCCTCTGTATAATTGAGGTGGGTTTGCTGTTCTTCTCTAGAGCAATGCATTAGCATTACGAATGGAGCTTCATGTAAAGCCTACCAATGCCCGTGTGTATATGCATACCAGGGCCTTAGTCCCAGAGAATGTGACCCAGCAGGTCTGGAGTGGGGCTCTGGCATCTGTACCAAGAAACACCAGGCTGCACGCGGAAACTGCTTATCCACAAGGTGTGACTGTAAAGTAACACGGCTGATTTTTTAACAAACCTGAAAGAGCTGGTCAGGTACTTATGTTCTCAGAGATTTAAGAGGCCGGATAACTGTGATGGTAGACAGCAACTGCGCCGGGCTCTTGACAAGCTTGCATAGGATGTGTACTGTTTGAATAAGGTTGATTTGAAATCTTTGGTCAGGGATTTTAAGATCTGTCTGATTTTTGACAGTGGCCAGAATAATGGGTCTGGGGTCCTAGAAGTGCTCAGCACAAATTCCTTCTGTGGAAGGAATCTCAGCCGTGTTTTGGGCAGTGGGAGAATTAATAGAATGATACAGGCCTCTAAGAGCCCTGCACTAAAAGTCACGCCCTGTAAGGATGTACAGACCCTGGTGTGTTTTTTGGACAACGAGCCAGTGTTCTGCGAGGCCCCCCTGGCCCTGTTCCTCAGTCCCTCTTGAAGGGAACGGTTTTCTCATCTTATGAGGGGATGCTGGGCAGACTCTTTAGGACTTTGTGGCCTGGCAGATCCAGGCTCAAGAAGGTGGCCACATCATGCGTCTGTAGCATCTCCCAGAGCCCATACCTCCCTCCGTGAGGTCCACAGGGCAGGAACACAAGCCTTTCTTTACAGATATTATCCCAGATTGTTGGGGACCCACAGTTTGATTTTGGTAATACAGATAACGTAATAGGGACCCCAGCACAGAAGGCCGATTAGTTATTTATTATTTAGAAAAGCACACAAGGATGTATTGCCGGCAATAAAAACATATTTAGGAAACTGAAACAGGGGCCATTTCTCCCCTGATTGCAGGTCTCATGGTGTCCTTAGAAGTTAGGGGATATGTGCTTATCGGGGAGAGAGAGTGGGAAGGGAATAGCCCGGGTGTGCTCCCTGAAGGGAGAGCGCCAGAAGGCCAACTATTTATGGAATCATCTGACTCCTTGTAAAACTCCTGGACCCCAGACCTGGGTCTGCTCCACCACCCTGTGGCTGCTTGACCAAGGGTCCGGCAAGCCCACACAGCCTGGACAGTCCTAAATCCTTGGCTACAAACAGGTCAGGCTCCTTACTCTATCTCCCTCTTTACAAAGTTGATGACCCATTTCTAAACTTACCACATTTCTCTATGAGCGTCAGGGGGAAAAGGATAAAAACAATCAGCCAACTCCTTATCATGTTCCTCAATTTCAAAGAGCTAGTGAGAAAAACAAAGAGCAAGAGAAGTTCGGGTTAAAGTTGAGTCAGCTCAGCAACAATGTGTCCCGTGGGGTAGTGGCCACAGAAGTGCCATAGGCCGCCTGGACAATATGCCCTCTGGAACCATGGCAGGAACTGTTCATCGAACACTTTCACTTCACGCCTGTGGCCTCATGGGCTTTGCCTCACCAGCTTGGAGAACAGGACTCCAGGGAGGGCTTATCTTTAATATAATAGCGAAATGGGCTCAGAGAGACTAAGTGGGTTGTGTAAGGACCCACTCTGAGGAAGTAGGCAAATACTGAATTTTCTCCTCTTCGACTGCTTCTTGCAACTTAACACAAAGAATGCAGTTTTACTGGTTTAGAGTTCTTTTTTCCCAAAATTATTAAAACTGTGGTCAGATATTTGACTTTGTGAACCTACAAACCTCAAGGAAATTGACTTCATTCCCTATCTTGGGATAAGAGCCTAAGGGTTATTTTCCTCCAAACTGTCAAAAAAGGCAAAGCCCAGCTGTTCTTCCTTTCTTCAGCCTGAAAGCCCCCGGAGGGCGGGGCCGGCTCCTGCCCACAGCCCTGGAGCCCAGCCCAGAGCTCAGCACTTACTTCCACCGGAGTTTCGGAAGGGTCCCCTTCTCCAAAGCAACCGGTAAACTCCGCGATCAGATTCAGGCGGCAACTAAGCGGGAGGCGGGGAAGGGGCTCGGACCACCCCCATCATCTTGACAGCACGGTGAGCGAGCCCTACCTCCGCCCACCTCCACCCGGGCCCTCGCACCTGGGGAATGTCCGGTGTCGCCAGGACGGGACAAGTGGCCAGGGATGGAACCCCGGCGCCGCTGAGCAGGGCTGGATTGCGGCGGGCTGCCGACCGGCTTGCCGCACCAGCCCCAGGGTCCCAGGGGCTCCACTTGGGGAAGGGGGAGGAGGCTGTCGGGGCCGCGCCGGATCTCACCTGAGATCCTCGGAGGCTCTGGGACCGACCCACGAGACGTAGGAGATGCTTCGGGCAGTACCCGCTTCCCCGGTCCGGCCAGGTCTGCTGGAGGACGGGCCCGAAGTCACCTGACCCCAGTCACCTGACTCGCGGAGTCGCTAGGTTCCCGCGATGCACTCTGGGAGCGGTAGTTTTGACGAGTCTGAAGCCGGGCTGGGGCTGAGCGGAGGCACCTTGGCAGGGATGGAGGCTCGGTGTGAGGGAGTCTTCAGACACTTTTAGGGACGCAGAGGCTCTCCGAGCCCCGAGCGCCTGTCCGCGGACTCTGCAGTCGTTTTGAGGGCGAGGCAGAGGCTGTCCGGCGGGGGTAGTTGCCGCCACAGTCCTGGATCGCAGCCCGACAGGGCGGTGCCCTCCAGGTCCCGCCTTCCGCCGTCTCTCCGCCTATCGCCGGGCCCGCCGCGCGGCTCCCCCTTCCTCGGCCAATGGGAAGACGATCAGCCTTCAGTTGGCGTGTGGCTGACAGCTTGGCCGGCGAGGCCCCGCCCCCGCGCCTCGGTCCTGGGTTTAGGGTGCAGGAGGGAGCCCCGCCCAGCGGACAAAACCTACGCTGGTCCCACGGCCATGGCTGCACCGTCGTCGGTCGTGCTCGGCATCGACCTGGGCACCACGTCTGTGAAGGCGGCCGTGGTGGAGGCGGCGCCCGACGACCCATCGGGGTTCGTGGTCCTGGCCAGCTGTGTCCGGGCCGCGCGGGCCGAGGCGGCGGCCCAGAGCGCGGCGGCCGGGCCCCAGGTGAGGCTGTGTCCCGGAGCTGCGCCGCCTCCAGGGCCCCCTGACCACCCTCTTCCTCCTCTAGGGGGCCGCCCCAACACCCCCGTCCTCGGAGAAGTCTCCCTGACTGCCCCAGCCTGCCTGCCCTCCACCTGCCTGTTGCACACCCCCCTCCCACCCCCAGTTGGCACCGATCGCCCCACTCTCTGGCCTCCTCTAGGGCTTGTCCTCAGTGCTTACCCCGTGCGCTCTGCCCTCCACTTTCTGTACCTGACCCGCGGGGAATTCCTCTCCTTGGGTAATTCTCCGCGTACCTGCCTGTGTCCTCAAGTTCAGGATTCAGTTTGTTCCCCAGGGCAGAGTTTGGGTTTTCCTCCGGAAATCAGATGCAGAATCAGGCCTAACAGAGCAAAATGTGGACTGAACAACTCAAACACCTGGTCCACAAAAGTCACCCCCCCTCCACCCCCCACCCCTACCCCATCCCAAGGCCCCAAAGGCTGAGTGAGACACTTTGGAGGAAAAACAGATAGAAGGACAGATAGAAAGACTTTGGAAGAAAGACAGACCGACAGAAAGATATTGAAAGACCCGTCATTAGAAAGTTCAGATTGATGATGGTACCCTACAACGTTTATCTTGTGAAATGTAATAATGCACTACAACCAGTCTTGTCAAAGCTGCAAGAGAGAATTGGAGGGTTTCACCACAGTGGGCTCTGTTGTGAGACGTGGGTTCAGAAAAGGTCAATCCTCAGAGCTGGATTCCATTAATTCCCTGAAAAAGGTGGCTCTATGTTTAGTTAATTGACAACAGAAATTAATACCAGGGAACTCTGAGTAACCTTTTTTTTGGATCTCAGCTTGTTCTTCTCCGACTTGAAGTAGGTGGCCTCTGGCCCCATCTAGCCACAAGCCTCCATTTCCGAGCCAAACACCACTCCCAGGAGCTGTCTTCCCAACTCTTGCCACATATCTGGACTCAGTTCATTAGGGTTCAGAGTCCGTCTTGCTCAGAAGCATTTCAGAGGATTAAGATTTCAGGAACACTTTGCATTTTCATAGAGGCTTTCAAAGTCAGGTTGGCTGGGGCATCAGGGCATTTTAGAACAATTATTTCACCTCAGGACTCTGGCTCTGTGGGAGTGAGCTGCAGAGCCGGGATCACAGGGAGCGGGTGTAGGCAGTGCCCTATTCTGAAATAGGCCATTTCTTCAGCATTACTTTCCCCACTCCCCCCCAGTGTTGCAGGCACCTCTGTGTTTACAGACACACCCAGTGCACCACACCTGCCTATTGAGGGGTTTAGGGGAGGCCAGTGATAGCCCCCCTGGCAAACCCCACATGTGTGCTGTGCTCTGGGACAAACAGCATTCCTATAATTTCATCTATGGCAGGACTCCTCAACCTTGGCACTGTGGATTTTTTTGAGCTGGGTGATTCTTCGTTGTTGGGGCTCTGTCCTGTGCCTTGTAGGATGTTGAGCAGCATCCCTGGCCTCGACACGCTAGCAGAATTTTCCTCCCCAGTTGTGATACCCCCAAAACATTCCCATATGGCCATGTGTCCCCCAGGGGACAGAAATCACTGGGGTGAGAACCACTGATGGATAGAATAGCTGATGGTTCTGTTCTTCCCTCATGACCATACTTCTTAGTCTTTAGAAGTGTTGTGTACACTATGGTCAAGCTTGGCAGCTATGTGGAAGGTCAGGCTTTTCAGTATTTGCAACTAGGGTTTTTGAGGGAAGCTCTGTGACCCTTTCTGCATTATTAATTTTTTCTCTCTGGGCCTCAGTTTCCTCACTTGTAAAAAGAGGCGTAAAGGAGGAGGGTTGACTGAGTTTCCAGGTTAGTTTTTCAACTCTGAAGTTCTAGGCTTTGATCTGGATGCAGACCAGTTGATAATCTGAGCCAAGGAATGGGGAGAGTGCCTATCCTGTCACACGTGGGCATACCCATTGTCTGTTCCCCATCGCACCCTACAGCTGCAACCAACTGCTTGCTGAACCCTGTCTCCTTGTTTTCACTGCCATCTGGCCCGTTTCCCTCCTCCACGGTCCCCACCCACACAGCTCACCTGCCCTGGGCCCATTTTAAACAGCAGCTCCTCTGTCCTGGGTTGATTCTCCATCTGATTGCCATGTGTGAACTCTTTAAACCAGGGCTGTCCAATAGAAATTTGAGCCACAAATGTGAGCGACACCTGTAATTTTCTTTTTTTAAATTAAATTTTATCTTTTAAATTTTTTTTATTGTTGATAGTATTGCAGATATCTCCCATTCCTCCCCTCCTTCTCCTCCTGACACCTGTAATTTTAAATTTTCTAGTACACATATTTTAAAAAGTACAAAATAACAGGTGCAATGGTGTTTTTAAATTGAATTATTGGATAAAATTGATTAATCGTGCTCTGTTAACCGTGATTGCCTTATTCTGGTTAAAGAAAGAACATTTTAGCCTGGCTTGGAGTTGTATGCCCTGGGACCTGGGAGTCTACCTTGGACCTGGGAGTCAACCTTGGGATTCGGTCCATTCTCATTCAAGAACTGCCTGTTGCCCAGGCTGGTATGGCTCAGAGGTTGAGCATCAACCTATGAACCAGGAGATCACGGTTTGATTCCCAGTCAGGGCACATGCCTGAGTTGCGGACTCGATCCATGGTGGGGCAGCCTATAGGAGGCAGCCAATCTATGATTCTTTCTCATCATTGATAAGTCTATCTCTCTCCCTCTCCATTCCTTTCTGAAATCAATAAAAATATATAAAAAGAAAAAAAGAACTGCCTAATCTCATGGAAAGATGAACAACCGTGTTGCCCAAACAGTGGCGTTCCACCCCAGCCTGCGTAGCCTACCTCCCCATGCCTGTAATCTCTACTTCCCCACGCAATCTTTATCCTACTCCATGTAAGCAGCTGGCTTATGGTGGGGTACAGGGCAGATTTTCATGGATGACCTGCTGCTCTCCCATACTACCGGCAGTACTGGAATGAATGCTCATGTGTGATTCAATCCTGTGTCTGCTGAATTGGCTCAAGTAGTGACAGGCAGCCTGGACCCATTGGAAGAGCCCCTTACCCTGGGCTTGAAGCCCACTGATTGGGTCCCAGCCTCTCTTTTCCAGCCTCACCACCCACCACCCCCTTGCATAGCCTATTCCCCTGGTTTTGTACCAGGTCTTCCCTGGCCTTCCTCATGCCTGCCTTCTCTAGGTGGGTTTTTGTTTCCAAGTCCAGGGCCTGGCCCTCAGGGCACTTAGGAAATGTTCCTCGCTGCTGTGTTTCATCCTTCTCGTACTCCAACACTCTGTGCATTGGGAGAGACCCTTACTTCATTCCTCCTGACAGCCTGGTCTGTCTTGTGCTTTCCTGCCCTTCCTGCTAGATTGTAAGTTCTTGTAGGGCAGGGGCAGTGCTCTCCTCAGCTCACTGCACCCACAGTGAAGGGGCGGGCAGGGCCTGGGCCATTTGCCCAGCTTCGTCTGCAGCTGTGCCTCATCGTAAAGGGAGGAAGTGCAACCTTGCCCACCACATTCCTGCTCCAAGTCAGGGGGAAGTGGGGAGAACCCTCAGTCTCGCATCTCTTCCCCGCGGCCGGTCTGCACGGGACCCCAGTGGAATTATCTGGGCAGCCACCGCCCAGGAAATCCCTGCAGGCCCTGGCCCTATGTGTCTGTTCTGTTTCCAGGCGCGGGAGCAGGATGTGAGTAGAATCATCCAAGCCCTAAACGAGTGCCTTGCTGCTCTTCCCCGGCAGCAGCTCCGCAAAGTCGGTGGCATCGGAGTGTCAGGACAGATGCATGGAGTCCTGTTTTGGAAAACAGGCCAAGGTATGTGGGGCTCCGGGGGTGACCACACGCTCTGAAGGGTCACCGTGGAACGAGAAAGCGCTGCCAAGGGCTGCCTAGAGGGTCAGCGGTGGGGATGCAGTGGCACACGCTGCCCCGTGTTTTGTGTACGTCCTGACTTGTACAGATGTGTTAATGAATCCGAACTATCCATTCATTCGACATCATCAGCCCATCAGTCAGGAACAGGAGAGGGAGTTCTCTCGGATTCCCTGTAGGATTCCGCGCCGTGGGTTTTCCGTAGCTTTCTCTGTATGTCAGTGTCTCAGAGCGTCACTGCTGGCAGCCAGGAGGTTGTATCGCTGTAGGAGATGCCAAGACACAGAGGAAACTCTTCTGTTTTTAAAAAATTACTATTAATATAATCACAGATGTTTGTGATTTTGAAATTCCAGGGTGTGTCCTTTCCATGGGCTCAGTTGCTAGCGAGGCATTACTTAGTCGATCATCATATATCAGGAGGTCTGCCTAGTGCCAGGGTGGGTGACTTGTTCTGTTTGGCCTCCAGGAGGAGAATTAAGCCAGCGAAGGAGCATTGAGCAATTTACATGCCAAGTGCTAGGCAAAGGATGCTACCTGCATGATCTCATCGAACTTTCCCAACACCCTGTGACATAAGCTACATTACTGCCCCCGCTGTGGAGGTGAAAAGTTGAGATTCTGAGAGATTAAAATAATATGCTTGGGGCCCTGGCTGGTTTGGCTCACTGGCTAGAGTGTCTGCCTGCGGACTGAAAGGGTCCCAGGTTGGATTCCAGTCAAGGGCACATGCCCGGGTTGCAGGCTCGATCCCCAGTGGGGGTGTGCAGGAGGCAGCCGATCCATGATTCTCTCTCATCATGGATGTTTCTGTCTCTTTCTCCCTCTCCCTTGCTCTCTGAAATCAATAGAAGTATATTTAAATATATATATATATATATGTATATGTGTATATATATATATATATATATACATATATATATGCTTGGGGTCATATGGAAGCAAATGGGGACTCCAGCTTTTTTTTTTTTAATTAATTAATTAATTAATTAATTAATTTTTACTGCTTAAAGTATTACAAAGAGTATTACATATGTCTCCTTTTTTTCCCCTGCCCTTGACAATCCCCTGGCCTCCCCTACCCCCCAGTGTCTTATGTCCATTGGTTATGCTTATATGTGCTGGGGTCCAACCCCAGCAGGTCCAGGGGTCCCCAAAGGTGTGGACGGAGTCGGCGAAGAAGGAATGACACGGAGACAGCGTTCATTGATCAGCAGCCTAGCCAGGATCTCTAGCCAAGTTCTGGTCAGGATCTCCAGCGAAGTTCTGGTTAGGCTCTCCAGCCAGGTTCTGTAGCCATGTTCCCTCGCTAGGTTCTCCAGCCAGGTTCAGTCACCAGGTTCTAGTCAGGTTCTCTTGCCATGTTCTATCCAGATTCTGTAGCCAGGTTCTGTCTCTAGGTTCTTCAGCCAGGTTCTCTCGCTAGGTTCTGTCTCTAGGTTCTGGTCTGGATCTCCAGTTTCTGTCCAGGATCTTTTGCCATGTTCTCTCCAGCGAAGTTCTTCTGCCTCTAGGTTCTGTGTAGGTTCTGTGTCTAGGTTCTGTGTCGACTCCAGCTTTTGAACCCAGGAATGTCTGAGTACAGACGCTGAACTTTTAAAGGCCTCTGGGAGGACCTGAGCCACAGGGGGCACAACAGCTTAATGAGGGGAGAGCTTCCCAACAGCATGTCCCGGGAGGGATTAGACTCCATAGGAAGTTGTGTGCTCCCGGTTATGGCAAGCATTGAAAATACTTTGGCGATTATAAAAAATTCTATATTGATGTAAAAGTAAGGAGAATAGTATTAGGGACCAATACACCCATCACCCAGCTTTAAAAATGCCAACATTTTACTGCAGGTGTCCTAAGCAGAGGATGGATGGCCACTTTGGGGGGGCTGTAGTTAAGGGCATTTGAACGTTGGATTCACCCCAGAGTCAGCGATTCTGATTCCCCGGGGCCAAGTGAGTGTGACTTGCTTCTCAGCAGCGTGACTGGCATCTAGGGCTGCATCCTTGGATGGGCTGGGTGCCCGGATGAGCCAGTGCAGGCTCCCTCCATCCTTCCTCCCTCTCAGCTGCCTGTTGTGGGGACAGCTGGGACCACAGGTGCTGCTTGGCTCCCGTCGGTAGCAGGAGCAGAGGCCGGTTAGGGTGTTAGAACTGACCTCTCAGAGGGAGTCTAGGTTGTAAAAGCTTTTTAAACTCCTTAATTTTGCATTAACGAGAATAAATGCCCTTTTAATACTAAAACCCTTTCCGAAGAGGACAGCAGAGATCTGATGATTGTGGTCTGGTCCCACGCCTGCCTTTCTGCCCGTCTCCTGGACTCTCACAGCCGCACAAGCCATCGCTCTCGTTGGAGAGGCTGTTGAATATTTCATGGAGCCAGCCGCATGCCTTTCTGTCTTGTTTTCTGTTTCTGGGAAGGAGGAAAGCCACTGTTGGGCGGTGATGGTGCCTGCTCAGCAGAGCTGGGTGAAATCAATTTGGGATCAGGCTGTCCCGCTTTTAACGATGGCTGGAATTCAGTTTGGGTTTAGTACCTACAATATACGGAGTATAAGGCTCTGTGCTGGGCCCCGCGGGAGCCACAGAAAGGAATGGATGAAGCCCTCACTTTCCAGGGCACACTCGAGGCAGTCAACGTAGATGGGGACCAGTAACCGGCGCAGAGAGCTTCTAAGTGCCTCCACGAGGGTACAGTTGAGGCAGCTGGAGGAGTGGGAGGGAGTGACCAGCGTCTTCTGAGAGGCCTGTGGTTACGCCTGTTTCCAGACTCCATTTTCAGGCGCAGAAACATCAGGAGAGAAGTGGGGACCATAAAACCAAGCCAAGAGCCAGGCAGCAGACGGGGAGGAAAGATTTGCTGGTGCATAGTAGACAGAGGACGCATATGGGTCCATATAAAGAACAAATAACAGAAAGGACAGTGTCATTAGTAATTAGGGGAAGCGCCGATGAAAACAACCGTGAGAAATCATTTTCCACCCACTGGGCCACAAGATATCAAAATGCCAAGAGTTGGCAAAGGGGTGGAAAATTGGTTCTTTTAAATACCGCTGTTGGGAGTGTCAATTAGCAGAGCTGTTTTGACGGACAGTGTGGCGGGGCCTATTAAAAACAAGGTAGCTTCTACTAAAAGGAAGAATAAATAAGACAGCTGCTATCAATCCACAGCGCTCCTACTTGGGAATCTATTCAGGAAAAGTACTTTAACACACATGTGTGCGTGGGGAGGCATAATCACGGCCGCCCACTGCATCCTTGTTTATGGTAGTGAACACTGTGGCACTTCATCACAGGGGAACGGTTGAATAATGCTCGGATGCCCACGCTGTAGGGTGACGCGCAGTAGTTTGAAAAGAATAAGGCCCTTTCAGGTGTACGGACATGAAAAGAACTCCAGAGCATGTTGTTGGGTGATAAACACAACCCCTGGAAAAATAAATGCAGCAGAGTGCTATTTTTTAAAAAAATAGACAAAAACAAAATAAAACCCCAAATCCAACTCAAACCAACCAAACCAACCAAACCATGCGTGAGCGTAAACCTTGGGCAGTTACCCGGCAAGTGCTGACAGTGACAGGAAGGGGGCTGGACTCCGGGGGCGTCACCAAGCCGGCCTTTTGCTTCATCTGTAATGTTTGAACATTTTATATTGAGAATGCATTCACTTGGCGTGTGTGTAATAATTAAAATATCAATTCTTTACAAAAGAAAAGAAAACAAAGAAAGAACAAACAGGAAAGAGTGTCGGTCAGGCCAGATTCTGTACTGAAACAGGCTACGGCTCTACCGCGTAGGTGAACATTGGCAAATGATTTTTAACTTCTCTGCTCTTCGTTTTTCTTATGTGTAAAGTGAGGCTAATTATCACATCTATGTTATAAGGCTATTATGTCTATTAAATGAATTGATATTTTTAAAGTGCTTTGAATAATACCGGGTACTTGGTAAGGACTCCGTATTTGTTTCATAATACAAAGAAAATAAATGTGATAGTCTAAAAAGAAAAATGCCAAGAGAATTTCGGAAGCAGATAGCGGGGTTGAAGAAAAGCCGCAGAGATCCAGCTTTAGGGCTGGACAAGAACCCAGAGTTAGGTTGAGGTAGGAATGTGTTGTGAGGGTAGATGGCTCTGAGGAGGAGCCACCCATCCCCCAGGAGAAGCGTGCTGTGCTTCAGGTGCGGGCATCTGTAACACGCTCCCTGGTCTTCTGGGCACTGGCCAGGGAGACCAACCAGAGACTGACAGAACCCTCAGAGTTCCGTCTATCTGTCACACGCATCCCCAGATATTCTTCTTCTTCTTCTTTCTTTTCTTTTTTTTTTTTTTTTTAAATATGCTTTTATTGATTTGTTTAGAGCAGGGGTCCTCAAACTACGGCCTGCGGGCCACATGCGGCCCGCCGAAAACATTTGTTTTTTTACTTCAAAATAAGATATGTGCAGTGTGCATAGGAATTTGTTCATAGTTTTTTTTTTTAAACTATAGTCCGGCCCTCCAACGGTCTGAGGGACAGTGAACTGGCCCCCTGTTTAAAAAGTTTGAGGACCCCTGGTTTAGAGAGTACAAAAGGGAGAGGGAGCGAGAGAAACATTGATGCCTCCCACACACACTCCAACTGGGGGCCAAACGAGCAACCTGGGCACGTGCCCTCACTGGGAATCAAACCAACTGAGCCACGCCTTTTACCCTGCTGTATATTTTTCATAGCAACTAAAAGTACCTGGTATTGTGTATTTGCTGCTTATGGTCTGTATCCCTAGCATACAAGTCTAGATAATCTCACTATGATGCAGGTTCAAAGGACAGAGGTTAGGGGACATGAGAGTGTGCTACACTTCTTTTCTTACCTACGGCGGGAGGGGTTATAATAGCAACTTTAAAAAATGAATAAAAAGGAACTTAGGAAAAGTGGGACAAATGGAGGGAGGGAGTGACTTGCCCAGAGTCCCATAGATGTTGATGGGGAGCCGGGTGCTGACCCCAGGTGCCCTGATGGGACCATGTGTACGAGTGGAGCGATCTCATGGGTGACACGGTCTGCTGGCACCTCACTGGCAGAGCATCTCAAGGACAGGCTGCTGCTGGTCAGTTGCCCTTTTCTCTGACTTTGCTACTCTCCTTTGTTCCAGGCTGTGAATGGACAGAGGGAGGGGCTGCCCCCGCCTTCACACCCAGAGCTGTGAGCCACCTGGTCACGTGGCAGGATGGCCGATGTGGCAGTGAGTTCCTGGCTTCTCTTCCCCGGCCAGAGTCCCATCTCAGTGTGGCCACGGGGTTTGGCTGTGCAACCATCTTCTGGCTTTTGAAAAATAGGTACAGACAACAGTTCTCTGCATCGGGTGCTGTATTTCCCGGGGGCTGCTCCTCCAGCTGGTCAGCATCCCTCCATCCCTCAGTGATGTGACCTAGACTTGGTCTAGAGCTGCTTCGCTTCCCTGAGGGCTCTCTGTTGGTTGCCCTGTTCTAACCAGCGGGGAGAGAAGGGGCTAAGAGGACAAGGGACTTGCCAAGGGTCATGTGGTGAGTTCATGGTGGGGTCAGGGCTGCAGAGAATGGTTGATGTCCCCTCCCCTAAAGGCAGCTTTGCTTGGAGGGCCACACCTCAGGAGGTCCATTTGGGAGAGCCACACACGTGGGGTTCCGGCTGCCACTCAGCTCTGCCATGTCTGGTCCACACTGCCCACCGCTAGGTGCAGCCCAGGCTTTTAAGTCACCGATAGACCATGTTGAATTATTTTTGGTATGAAAACAGCCCCGAGTTCCTGAAGTCCTACGATGCAGCTGGCACCATCCATGACTATGTGGTTGCCATGCTGTGTGGCTTGCCAAGGCCCCTGATGTCTGACCAGAATGCCGCCAGCTGGGGATATTTCAACACCCAGAGCCAAAGCTGGAATGTGGAGATGTGAGTATAGCCTTGCGGGCTGGCTCCAGCCAAAGGGCGGGACCCCAGAGCGGAGAGTCATTGGGCTCTGGGAACAGTGGGCATTCCAGGCGCTGGGCATGGGTGGGCCGGGTGGTAAGTGAAGCCCTTGGAGAGGGCTGCCCTGCTTCCCCACAGTCCCCAATACCTAGGGTGGTCTCCCCGGTTCTCTGTGACCCAGCCCAACCTACAGATTTCAAAGAACAACTTTCACTCTAGAATATATTTTAAAATAAGGTTAAGAAATGGAAGCAGTAGGTGTGAGAGATGCCTTTTAAGTTCTGTTTAAACAATCATTTGCCTTTCAGGTCCAGAAGTCCAGTGCCCTATAAGTCCACTTCCTTCAGGGCCCCCATTCTGAGCTCTGTAATAAAACACAAAGCACCTGGTAGTTCAGGTAAAGGACTTTCTAGCATGCTTCATAACACTGACAGCCCCGCTCACTAACCCCGAGTGATGAGTGCATTTGGTATTCAGGAGGTGACTGAAGGGTTTGACTTTGGTGTGGCCCGTGCTAACCGACCGTGACTTTGCACTGAAATTCCCTTTGCAGGGTATTTGTGTTCCCTTCAGACACAGGGGCCGGATGCCAATGCCGCCTGCTCTTACCTAAACCTTCCTGTCGCCCTCGACTGGGGATCCAGCCTGCAACCAGGCGTGTGACCTCCTGGTTCATAGGTCGATATTCAACCACTGAGCCACACCAGCCGGGCCAATGTTCACTCTTTAAAAAAATCCCAGCCTATGTCTCATAGTTTTCAAAAAGCCAGAGAGACCCCTGTGCAAACACTGGCTTCTCCCCTCCCTTCTCCGACTTGTAGCACTTTCCTTTGTTGAGTTTTCTGGAAACAACAAATAGCAGAAAACCAGGCACTGGTCAATGTGCTGTCCACTTCTCGTTTGCAGACTGAGGGCCTCCGGCTTTCCTGTGTACCTGCTCCCCGACATCACCGAGCCCGCCAGCGTGGCAGGCAGAACGGCCCATGCGTGGTTTGAAATCCCGAAGGGCACCCGGGTAGGCGTGGCCCTGGGTGACTTACAGGCCTCCGTCTATTCCTGTATGGCCCAGAGGACAGATGCAGGTAAGTCTTCTGCCCTCTCCTCAGACTTCTGCTCGGGGTGAGGGTCCAAGAGGCACACACACCGGGAAGCCTCAGCTGCCTTCCACCGTTATTCTGTGAACGTGAGAACACCCTCCCCCTGCAGGTGAAGCCCCCGCTCAGGGAGCCTACACTTCAGCAGGCCCAGCTCTGCCCTGACCCCGGTCTGTGCCTTTCCTCCCGAGGGCCAGGGCAGGGGATGGCTCCCGAGTTGGCTGGTTTCTGTGTAACTCCATGACCAAGAAAATAGATGAGGAGACGAGGGTTTTTGACTTCCTGTGTTTGTCAGGTGGAGTTTCGTCTCATCTGATTAAAAGCCTAGAGTCCTTTCTGCGTTTGGTGTCCGAGAGCCACAGGGAGGTGCAGGCAGCAGTGTAGGGCCGGGGTTGGCAAACCCTTCCTGCCAAGGGCCAGATTGCAAATACGTTAGGCTTCGTGGCCCATGTAGTTTCTGCTGTTGGGGCGTGAAAGCAGCCGCAGCCGTTCATAAACGAATGGGCGTGGCTGTGCTCCAATAAAACTCGTTATCGACACCGAGATGTGAATGTCATGTAATTTTCATATGTCATGAAATCTTCTTTTGATTTCTTTTCAACCATTTGAAAATGTAAGCACATGCTTCTGGGATCGTAAAATAGCGCAGCCCCTTTGGAAAACAGTCTAAAACGTGTACATGAATGTCGCTAGCAGCGTTATTCATACTAGGCAAAAAGGAGAAACGACCCAAATGCCCATCAACTGATGAACGGATTTAAAAAATGTGGTCCATCCACACAGCTAAAATGCCACAACATGTGCGTGAAAGTGAAGGAAAGAAAGAAACTCGTCACAGAAGGCCTCCCATTGTATGATTCCATGCCTGTGAAATGTCCAGGATAGACAAATCCACAGGGACAGGAAGGAGTTAATGGTTGGCAGGGCTGATTGCTGACAGGTATGGGGTACCTTTCTGGAGTGATGAAAATGTTCCAAAAGTAGATTGTGGTGATGGTTGTACCACTCTGTGAATATTCGAAAAACCCCTGGACTGTGTGCTTTAAAGGGGTCTATTTTATGGCGAATTTATGTGAGTGACATATCAATAAAGCTACTCTCACACACAAAAAAGGGAAAAGCTGTTCTTATCTCCTGGGCCCTACCAGAACAGCTGGTGTCTACCCTGGGCTAGGGTGGGACTTGGGGCTGCCTGCCGAGCAGGGTGGTTGCAGGATGAGTGTTTCCGTTGATCCTGGGGGCAGCCTGGCTGAGCTAGTCCTGGTTGGGAGCCCCTCCTGGTTATCGAGGGGGACAGAGAATTCCTTCATCTTACCCAGGCTCTCTTCGTCCTCACATCTTTTATTCCCTCCACCAGTTAGAACTATTACAATTCAACTCTGAGTTTAAAAAGTCTGACCGGCACTAGCCTCTGTGTAGTAGTTTATTCACCATTTCATTACATTTTTAAGAAATAATTTCAAGTGACTGGTTTTGGTAATAATTCCTATCAATTCAAGATTAGCTGAGCAGGAAAGGTGAAATTCTGTCCATTTTGTTTGTGATAAAAATCACTTAAGGTCAAAAAGTTCAAACACCTTTTTCTCCCCAATTTTCAACTAAAATCAATGCCCCAGGAAAGCATGCTGAGTTTATTCTGTGACTTAATTTTTCCCAGTACACCATCTCTCTCCGTATATCCCTCCATCTCAAAGCGTGGATGGCAGGGAATGCAGTGGGCTTTGGAGTCCAGAATGCCAGCCGCTCTGGGTGACCTGGGCAGGCTGCTTTTCCTCCTGGTTCCTTGTCATCACCCCTGGCGAGGGTGTCGGTGCCTTCCCCCCGGGCAGTTGTGAGGCATTGGGGTGGTGCCTACAAAGGCCTGGTTCTTTCCTCCCACCTTTCAAATATCAGGCTGTTCCCTCCACAGAGGGGTGGATGCCGGCGAGCTTGCTGTGTGGTGAGTGCGGGGCTTGTGGATGGGAAGAAGGTGAGGTTTGGGCTCCGCCTTCACTGAGCGGGTTGTAGTCTCTGGCTGCAGATGGGCTGCTAGCCTGTGCTCAGCTGTGCCATACTCACAGGCTAAGTTGGTCGGCCCCCATTGTGGACATGGCCATCAGAGGGGACAGGCGGAGGGCACGTTGCTTCTGGCTTCTGGTGATGGTGGGAGGCTTGATGTGGCAGGAAGTAGGCGTTACTGGCTTTCTGAGGTTTGTTTTTGCTCTCCTCGCTTCTGACCCCCCTCCCCCCAGGTGCGGGGGAACGTGGGCTGCTGCCTCAGTTAGTCTGGCCCCCAGCAGATGCAGAAGAACAGGCCTTTTGGTCAGGTCTTATGAGAAGTGAAGAGACTCCTGGAGCATCTGCAGGCCTGGCCTTGAGCTAGAGGAGGAAGTCGGCCCCTCTGTGCTGGGTCTGGGCGTTTCCCCTGCTCGTGGGGAGGTTAAGAAAAACGCCTTGGAAATGAGCGGAAGGAGAACTGGCTGAACATGAGCGAGACCTCCGCAGAGAATAGCACGTTTCGGCTGAAGTTTTACTCTCTAAATAGTTGTCTACTGCTGTGTAGCAAATCACCCATGGCGTTTTGTAGCCTAAAAACACCAAACGTTTCTTATCTCACACATGTTCCTTTACGTGTGTTGTGTGTGTGTGTGTGTGTGTGCGCGCGCATGCATGCACGTGTGTGCGTGTGTGTACCTGCATTTGAAATTATTTTGTAAACGTCTGTGTTTAATACAGGTGAAATGGTTCCTGAGAGTCAGGAGTGTGGGTGTGGCTGGAGCGTCTGGCTCAGGCTTCCTCGTGCCATTGCAGTTAAGCTTTTGGTGGCCTGGGACCACCCTCATCTGAAGGCTTGACCGGGCTGGAGGGTCCCCTTCTCAGCTCCCTCAGGTGGCTGTTAGCAGGGGGCTCAGCTCCTTGCTGCATGGGCCTCCTCACAGCACCGCTCACAGCACTGCCTGCTCCTCCCAGAGCGAGCCATCCGCGGCAGAAGCTGCGTGCTTTTTGCGACCTGTTCTCCATAGTCACACACTGTCACTTCTGCTTTATTCTCCCACTAGAAGCAAGTCACCGAGTCCAGCCCACACTCAGAGGGAGGGCATTTAGGCTCTACCTCCTGAAGGAAAGAAATAGTATCAAAGAATTTTGGACCTTTAAAAAAATATATTTTTTTATTGATTTCAGACAGGAAGGGAGGGGGAGAAAGAGATAGAAACAGCAACGATGAGAAAGAATCATTGGTTGGCTGCCTCCTGCACGGCCCCTATTAGGGATCAAGCCTGCAACCCGGGCATATGTCCTGACCAGGAATCTAATCGTGACCTCCTGGTTCATAGGTCGATGCTCAACCGCTGAGCCACGCCCGCTAGGCTGGGTGTGTTTTTCAAACCAGCACACTCTCCCCTGCCTGGTTGTGACTGTGACCGCCAAGTTAGCCCGACAGACCTAACCTTTGCTTTTCTTGGGCCCCAGTTCTCAACATCAGCACTTCGGTTCAGTTGGCAGCCTCCATGCCGTCAGGGTTCCAGCCAGCGCCGACTCCAGACCCTGCAGCTCCGGTCGCCTACTTCCCGTACTTCGACAGAACCTACCTGGCGGTGGCAGCCTCCCTCAATGGGGGCAATGTGCTCGCCACGTTCGTCCAGATGCTGGTCCAGTGGATGGCGGATCTTGGTAAGATGTGCCCACACAGCTCTGCCTCTCTGCTTGTCCTTCCATCACGCCAGTGAACGTGCTGTTGAAGCTTCTAGATTCACGTCTCAGACCCAGAACTTCTCTTCCTTCCTTAGGAATCTGAGCCTCTAGCTTTCCTCTCATCTCCTGAGCTGCCACCCCCTGCTCTCTCCTGACCTTGACTGTGGAGTGTCAGAGAGTCTCCCAGTTCTCCCCTGCCCTGCTCTCTTACTTTCTTTGTCAGTGAGCCCCTGGGTCCCTTGCAGTTGGGGTTTTCCTTCTGATGACTACAGGCAGTTGAAAATAAAAGGATCAAACACGGACGAGTGAAAAATCTGGTATTTTACAGTATTATAAAATCTTCACAGACTTAATCCTGAGTCCCTGTCTCAGGAGGGTCCCTGGAGACTCTGGAGTCCTCCTGCTCTCGTCTCCAGTTTTCAGGGTAGAGTTGGTTCGGCTTTTCCTCTGCTCTGCACTCACAGGGAAACATGAAACCTCTCCAACCACTTAAGGTAGAAATGAAATTTCCAGTCTAGGGAAATCATGTTGATCAGACTCACTGGTTACCAGTAGGAGCTCAAAATCAGGCCATTCCCAGAATCAGGCATCCAACACGGTCACAGGGGGAGTCCAGGCAGCAGGGAGCAGCGAGGCTTTTACCTTCAGTCACCAGACAGTGCGTGGGTCTCCGGGAGGTCGGGGTTGCGGGGAGCTCTGGCCCCTTGGCTGGGGTCTTCTCAGGATGGCTTCATTTAAACGACAGGACTTGGATTTTGTTTTACCTGCACCAGGGGAGGTTTTCAAGATGCAGAACCAGTTCTGAGAACTGTCCGGCCAGCCCTTTATCTAGGCACTAGTTTAACTGGATTGGGTCTCTCAGTTGTTTACTGACTTGGGCCAGTGTTTCTCTTTCTACAGAAGTGACACTTCTCCTTGCCCCTGAAAGACTTGGGAATATTCACTTTCCCTGTAAGATCCTTTAAAAAAGTCTTTTTGCCTTTTCTTGGTTCTTATTTTGAGAAAATGAGTGTTTTGAAGGTTCATGTATTCCATGTAACTTAACCTTTTATGAAAATGTTACAATTATGTCATTTTATTAAAAAACATATACATGCAAATACAATCACATGTACTTAGATAAAAGACCCATTTATTAACCAGAAATGGAAATGTTTCAGCATAAGGCACTAAAATAAAACTCTTGCTGTATTCAGAATACCCTGAATTTGCATTTTGTTCCCGAGGTTAGAATATAGGGTTCTACACTTGGGTGGTAGTTTAGAGCAGGACCCTGGGGCTGGTGGCCTGGGGCTGGTGGCCTGGGTCTGAATCTCAGCTCTGCCGCCTCCTGCGTGCCTCTGGGAAGGTTACTTACCTCCTCTGTGCTTTACTTCCCTTATCTGAAAATGGGGGTCATCCTAGGACTGTGAGGATTCGGTGAGTCAATGTTGTGAACACTTAGAACAGCGTCTGGCCCGTAGTGGTAGTGAGTGTGATATGACACTTATTAAATAAGGTTTGTGTGGCGGGTTCAACCCAGGGGTGTGACCTCGGTTCCCTGCTCTGTCTCCAGGTCACCATGTGGCCTTGGACGTCCCTTCCCTTCTCTGTCTTCCCAGCTCCGATGTTCTATGATTCTAAGCCCGTGGTGTGGACATTTGGCAACTCACAGCAGTTAATCTCACCAGTAGATTCGGCTGAGGCGGTGAGCCAAGGCACACAGAAACGGGCTAGAAGCCGGATCTCCCAGGCCTCCAGCTGTGAACACCTTCCTGCAGGTTCCACAAGGCCTGTGCAGGGCCTGGGTGTTGGCCAGTGAGGAATAATGCTGTAACGGCCCTAGCTGGTGGGGCTCAGTTGGTTGGAGTGTTGTCCCATAAACTGAGAGGTCGAGGGGTCCATTCCTGGTCAGGGCACATACCCAGGTTGTGGGTTTAGGGCGTGTATGGGGGACAACTGGTCAATGTTTCTGGGTGTTTTTCTCCCACCCCCCCTCCTCTCCCTTCCTCTCTTTCTAGAATCAATAAACATATCTTCAGGTGAGGCTTCAAAAGAAGTTTTGAGAATGTGCTATTGTGACAAAGATAGCAATAAAAACATTTTTTTGAGTTCTTATTAAAGAAATACACATTATTATTTTTAAACTGTAGATTTTATTTGTGTTTCAGTGATTTTTCTACGAATGCCCTTTTCCTGTTCCAGGACTCAATCCAGGATACACATTGCATTTAGTCGTCACATCTCCTTAGTCTCTCTGTCTTCTACTTGACTGGTCTGTTTTTCTTTATCTCCTTTCCCTTTCCCCCCATTAGTTGATGGCTTTACATTTATATCTGTGCTTCTAGAAGTTTCCAGCACAGTCTGTTGGCTAGGACATGGAGAGACTCGCTCTGATGTGTTGCTGTGCAGTGTAAATTGATACAGCTTCTAGGGAGGGAGTGTCATGTGCATATCTTTGGACCTAGCAGTTCCCCTCCAAGGACTCAGACCTACAGATGTACATGCTTGGACACCTGTAATAGGTTACCCACCAAGTATGTGAGTTTTCTGACATTTTAGTAGAATATCTAGAGGAAAGACACGTACTTATTCAGCAGAGCTTAACCAGAGTCCTGCTGATCAAATTTTGACTGTGCAAATTCAAGGTATTCTGAATACAGCAAGAGTTTTATTTTTGTACTTTATGCTGTAATATTTCCATTTCTGGTTAATAAGTGCGTCTTTTATCTAAATACATGTGATTGTATTTGCATTTATATGTTTTTCAATAAAATGACATAATTGTAAAATTTTCATAAAAGGTTAAGTTACATGGAATCCACGAACCTTCAAAACACTCTTTGTTTCCTCAGAATAAGAACCATGAAAATGCAAAAAGACTTTTTTAAAAGGATCTCTCTCTCTCTAGTTCCTGAACATGGACAATATAGTTTTTTTTAAAAAAATAATTTTGATTTCAGAAAGGAAGGAAAAGGGAGAGAGAGATAGAAACATCAATGATGAGAGAGAGAGTCATTGATTGGCTGCCTCTTGGGTGTCCCCTACTGGAGATCGAGCCTGCAACCCAGACATGTGTCCTTGACTGGAATCGAACCCGGGATCCTTCAGTTTGCAGGCCGATGCTTTTATCCACTGAGCCAAACCAGCTAGGCTATAGTGGAGTTTGTATAAGTTAAATGTGCTGATGATTTTACTCTAGGTTTACTTCCCTTATCTGGACATTGTAATTTTAATAAGATCCCTCCATGATTCCTATGCATAGTCAAATGTGAGAAGCACCGGTCTAGACTGGTGGTTCTCCACTTCTGCAGGGGATGGCTAGACCATGCTCAGCCCTGGGATCCTGGGATTCTGTGACTCTGCTAATAAGTCTGGTGGAGCTGTGATGGTACTTATTGATCAGTACGTGCATGATGGCCCCTTGGGGCCAAGGTCTCATAGCTGGTTAGGACTCGCATAACAACCTTTATATGACCTCTCCCTGAAGTCTGGGCTGGGTCTGCAGTGAGAGAGCTGGCTGAGATCTGGGGCAGAGCATGGCTAGTCAGGTTATGTGAGTCCCTGAGCAGGAAGCAGCCAGCCACATTGAGAAGAAGCAGGTAGTAGACCTCTCCTGCCCAGGGAATGCTGTACTGTCTCATCCTGCAGCGAGGGGTGCATGAGCTCACACGTCTTCTCTGTTCCTGGCAGGCGTGGAGGTCGAAGAATCCACTGTGTATTCACGCATGATCCAGGCAGCTGCAGAGCAGAGAGACACCTGCCTCACCATCACGCCAACAGTGTTGGGCGAGAGGCATCTGCCAGACCAGCTGGCCTCCGTGACCAGGATCTCCTCCGCGGCCCTCTCGCTGGGGCACGTGACACGGGCGCTGTGCAGAGGCATCGTTCAGAACCTGCACTCGATGCTCCCGTCCCAGCAGCTCAGGGAGTGGGGCGTGGAGCGGGTGGTCAGCAGTGGGAGTGCGCTGTCCAGGAACGAGGTGCTGAAGCAGGAGGTGCAGCGGGCTTTCCCTTTCCCAGTGTCCTTTGGGCGGGATGTGGACGCAGCCGTGGGGGCAGCACTGGTCACGCTCCAGCGAAACTTCCGCCAGGAGGAGTCTTAGTGCGCACACTCTTTGGCCAAAGCCCTGTTGCCGATTTTATCTAATTAACATTCCGATGTGATCCTGGAGTCATCCTTTTCCTGGACAGCTCTGTGGGCAGCTTTTAAGCAATGTTTGTTCTCAGGCCACCATCCTGACCAATGACTTTCCTCTAGGGCACACTCTACTAATGCAGCCGGGAGTCAGCCACCAGGTCCCCAGTCAGTGCCTCTGACTGAGACTCACCTGGGAGCTGGCTGCCAATGTAAAGGTGGAAAAAAGGAAAAGAGACAAGTAACCCAGCATCACAGTCAGCAGGCTCACCTGTGATTCACGTGTAGACAAAGAGAAAATAAATGTGGACTTCAGACACCAAACACGCCTGGTGGCTGTGGCTCCCAGTCCGAAGAGAAGACCCGCCCTCCACCCCGCCTCCAGCTTACGGATTGGTTGTTTCCAGGGATAGGCAGCTCTGATGCGGGTCACATTACTGTCAGAAGAGTCCTTCCCCCTGGACTGGACCACATGAGCCCTTTCCAGTCTCAATCTCCCCTGGCCACGGCTGGTTGTGTGGGGCAGGCGGGCTGAGGTGAAGATGCAGGGGTCTGTGCCTGCCTTCTTGCCATGGACTCCCCCCCAAGGAGAGGATGCTGTGCTGGGGCGGCCCCAGATCCTCACAACACAGCTGGCCCGAGGGCAGGGAACAGGGAAGGAGAGTCGGACAGCATGGCCGGCAGGGGGTGGGTGCTGTGTGGCCCCACCACTCACATTGTTCCCATGAGACTGACCAGCCCCCACAGGACCCTTTCCCGGGAGTGTGTGCAGCAGTGTGTTTTTGCCTCTGCACAACCTTGGAAGCCTTCAGGCAGCCTCTGAGGCACCCAGGCATGCTCCCCCCAGACAGGTGGCCGAGTTAACCAGAGAGGACCCCTTATCCCCGAGGCCCCAGCTCTTCTTTCTGTTGGCGTGGACCTGACTCCCACTGGAGTCAGCACAGAGCCTTACAGGGACCCCGGAGCATCTTAAACCTTCCCGTGGTCGGCGGGGATGACCATGGCGTGGCTCCCAGGAGAAGGCCGCCATCGCTGTGTCTGCTTCCAGACTCCCCAGGGCCATCCCAGCCTCGGGCAGACGCCAAGGCACCCAGGCAGCTATGTGTTGGGGAAGCAGTCATGCCGTCTGTTTGTAAATGTCACTTTGTGAATTACATGATTGTCTGACACTCTTAGGTGCCTCTGCCTGGCTGTGCTGATTGAACTTCAGATACTAAAACTCATTCTTCTCCAGCCTTGTCGTTGTCGCTTGAATGAAAACACCTCTCTGCTTTGGGGAGACGGATCACTCAGGAAAGCTGTATAATTTTTCTCTCAGCCAGAGTGAGGTCATCTTGGAGCCCCTGGGGGAGAAGGCCCCCCAGGAGAAGCCGAAGGACAGCTGACAGCCCTGTGGTCAGGGGAGCTGGCTTCTGACTTCCATTGCCAGGGGGCTGTGGATGGAGCTTGTAAATATAAGATTGGGAGCGGATGGTGTCCTGCAAGCCCAGGCAGCCCAGCCCAACGTCCAGTGTGGTCGCTTCCCACTCTACCCCTGAGGGCTGAGCTTCCTGTGGCCCAGGCTTGTCCGAGAACAGTCCTGCCGCTGTTTCTATTGCTCGTGGCTGGAGCCTCTGCAGGGTGCCGAGTACCCTCACGCCCCTGCCCTCTGCCACATACAGCCTTCCCTGGGAACTGCTCTACCCACATCATGTTTATGTGGCTTTCATGTTCTCCATTTTCTTTTCAAGTGGACTGAAAAGCTCCATGAGGGCAGGGTCCCTGTTAGGGGTTCTCTGCCCTGCCCTCTTCCTACATTTAACCTGGGCTGGGGCCCATCTTTGGAACGTTCTCCTCACAAGGCAGGACCCTGCCCCGCCCGAGGCCCAGTTCAACGCCATCGCCTGCTGCAGTCTCCCTGGCAGCACATTTGCCGCTGCATCACAGTGGCCGCTGGCATCCTGCGGGCCCCTGGCTTGTCCCTGTTTCAGGGAGCCCCGTTCTGTAAGCATCACCTGCCTTTCTCACCCATCCTGGCCTCCTTAAAGGCAGAGACCATCTCATTTACCCCACTCACTACCATGTGCTCGCAACGTGCACAGTGGGCCCGCAGGAAAGAGGGCCGGTGGCACTGACCTCTTTGCAGCCACAGTTACAGACAGGCTAATCCGAAAGAGAGATATTCGTGCTATGGAGATGCTCACTGGGTGACTCAGAAAACATTAAGCAAATTTTTTAAAATTAAAAAACAATTAGTCCCAACCTCAAGCTAATGGCCGGATAAGCGCCACAGCCAGCAGATGTGGTTCTCATGCTGAAATAATGAGGATGAGAGCAACCCTCCTGCCTGCCTGGAGCTCTGCCGCTCAGAGCCCGTTCACACCCCGTGTCCTCGTTAATCCCCAGCAAAGCCCCGAAAAGCGGGCAGGGCAGGCACTCCCCGTTGGTGTGGATTAAGGAGCAGGCCCAGAGCTTCAGCCGCCGCCCAGTTCATGCAGCCAGTGTCTGGCACGGCCCGGCCTTTTCTCCCACTTCCATTCGCTGCCCACAACCTTGACCGTGCAGCGGCTCCTCGCTCTTGCTCCAGTCCCTGCCCTGGGTCCCAGCTCTGCAGAGCAGGCTCGGCTGTCAGGTGCAGAGTCAGGTGCTGAGCGGATGCCTGCCCCCCAGCACAGCCCTGAGCCTCTACCCACTTTCGGAGCGTGCCGAACCCTCTGTAGAGCCCTGCCCATCGCGGGAGCTGGTCTTTCAGACTCAGTGACACCTGGTGACACTCCTGCACAGGCCAAGTGCAGAAAGGAAAGTAAGTTGCTTTCAGGGTTGTAGTTTGTCATCTGGACCTGGGACCCCGGAAGCCATTCCAAATCTGGGAGGCAAGACACAGAAGTCAGGAAGTTAAAACAAGATTTAGAAAGCTCGAGACCAGACTAGCAGAGTTGTCACTGCCCTTGGGTGGGTGACAGGGACCTGCCAGTGGTGCCTTAATTACTCTCCCTGGGGCTGGGGCTGGCAGCGCCCGGGTCCTGCCCTCCTGGAGGTGCCAGGATGACGGTTCCCGGCTGTGGTAATCAGGCTTTTCCTGCACATGGGAGTTTGCAGGTTGCTAACTGTGCCAGAAAGTCTGGCTTCAAATCTGTGAGGAGCCCGGGTAGATGAAGAAAATGAATTAGGGCTCCTATTGCCAGGTTGAGAGCTCAGTGCAAGTCAGTGTGCCCGCTGGTGGTACACGAAGTGGGAGAACTGGCCCTTCACGATATTAGCAGTTTTAACGGAGGTCACATAAGACTTGGCCCACCCTGCCCTGGCCGGTGTGGCTCAGTTTGTTGGAGGGTTGTCCCGTGCACTGGGAGGTCATGGGTTCGATTCTGCTCAGGACACATACCTGGGTTGTGGGTTTGATGCCTGGAGTGTGAACGGGAGGAAACTTCTCTCTTCTCTCTCTCTCTCTCTCTCTCTCTCTCTCTCTCTCTCTCTCTCTCTCTTCTGTCTCTCTCTCTGTCTCCTTCTTCTCTCCCTTCCTGCCTCTCTAAAATCAATAAAAATGTTATTACACAAAAAGACTTGGCCCACCCACCTGCACTGCTTCTTGTCCCCATCACACACGAGCTTGGCGAAGCACCCCCTACTGGAAGTCATTATTAAAACATAATCTATTTACAAGGAATTTTAATGGGTACATCATTACATAAACTCAAGAACACCCTGTTCAAATCATGACCCAGAAAACCACACGGACGGCGGCGAGACCCAGCCCTGTGGTCTTGTCCCCTCCGCCATCTCATGAGTCTTAGCAGAACGGCCGCTCGGTGTCAGTGCCACTCAGAGCTGGTCAGCATGCTCCTTGGCAAGGCACGGGCAAGGCTTTGAGAGGGGAAATGGAGGGTCTGGAGCCATTAAAATCTGTGAAGCAAGATAGGAACATCAGAGAAATAAGAACTCAATGCAAGCTTTAGGAAGCTCCAGGCGAGATCGGTACGCTTACCACTGTCCTTGGGGCAAAATGGGGGCAGAGTTTCTCTCATGAAACTCTGTGAGGGCGGATGAGATGGCGCAGATGAAGTGCTACCCCAGAACCCGCACACTGCATGGGCCCGGGGAGAGCTCACTGCCATTATCGTTGTCATTGGGATCACAGGCACCAATGGCCACGGGAAGGCACAGTTGAGGTTTCTGCAGGAATGGGGAGGTGAGCATTTCAGGCCAGGTCCGCGGGGGTGACGGGAGGCTATTTGAAGGAGGTGAGATTTGAATGACTGAATCTCAGCTTCCATCGGTCTCACCTGTCACCTGGCCTTACAGATGGGCTGGGGCACTGCCTTGTTGAGCTGTTTCTTCAGGACCCCCTGCCTGTGGAGTGGTGGCTTTGGGAGGCCTGAGCAGCGCCCTCCTTCCCTGAGAGCTGAGGTCACAGCTCTGGCTGGTCTGGGCTGTGTGTGGCTAAGTGCACTGCAGCCCTGGCCTGGTGGGAGGAGGGGCAACGGCTAAGTGGTTTCTGAAAAAGGGCAAAAATGATGGGAAAGGCTTTGGGATCCTCTGGGAATCAGAGCTGCGGCAACAGCAGCTGCTACCATCGCTGGAAGCGTTTTTCCTTGAGTGCCAGAGCGCGCCCACAGCCCGTCCCTGCCAGAGCGGAGCAGCGCGGCCCACGGAGGGGCCCGGGACCCTCGGAGGCAGGGGAGGCAGCTCTCCCCACACCGCCCAACTCTCCCTTCAAGTAGCAGCGGCCTGGAGCTCATCGCGCCCCGCTGTTAGAGGGGTGTGCCTGCGTCTAGCTGGTGAGTCCCCTTTTGTTATTTGGTGGCCAACGCAGCTGTTAGCTGTGGAATGGCATCGTGAGCTGCCCGAAGCTGGCCCCTGCCATTTGCCAGCTGTGTGACTATGGGCAGTTCAGCTAGCCTCTCAGCGCCTCAGTGATCGCATCTGAAAACTGGGAGAATAACAGCGTCTGCCTCAAAGGTGGCTTGAGGCGTAAGGGAAGCTGTAGCTGCGGTGCACTCAGCCTGGCTAATCGCAGGCGCTTGGTAAGTGATAGCGGAGGTCGCTGTTACCCACGGGCTGTGTTTGCACCAGAGACATCTGGGCGAAGAGCCCGCGGCCGCTGCCAGGGCCAGCGGTTTGTGGCTGGAGGTTTCAGGGGTTGCTCTCTCTGGAGTGAAGGCGGGCAGGGGTCCTGGGTTCTTGTCCTGGCTCCATCCTCTCTTTCGGGATTTGGCAGAGTCCCTCTGGCTCTTCGTCCGTGGGTTGTGAAGCGCCCAGCTCTCCATCTCTCTTTAGGAGGCCAGGGGGACAAGAATGACCAGAGCCTGCAGGGAGCGGGGGGCAGCGGGAGAGCCACGCCCTAGGAC